ACGATAGTAGTAATAAGAGACAGGGACAGAGAGGACATCGACACAGCGCTGTTGCTCGTGTGTGATGGGCTGCATGCCATCGGCAAGGGTCTGTTGGACCATTCGACGCCACGGACCGGGCTGTGACAGGACTGACTATGCTGAAGAGATTGAATGACATATTCGATGTCTGCGTTTGCTGGGAGTTTGCTCTACCTCTCTCTCTCTCTCTCTCATCTCTGCTTTACCCGCTATTATCACAACATGCCTTCTCTTTGCGTCAAACGCCGGATCACGGAATCCATCCACCTAGGCAGCCCGCCGTTGACGACACCTTGATCGGTGGAGGAGCCATCATCATCATATCGTCCAGCTACAGCCGGCCTTGACGTTGTGCTCCTCGCCATCGGACGACATGCCCTTTCTTTTCGATCCGATGGACGCATGTCTCAGATGCAGCGCCGGACAGGACAGGGGTGGCCACCACTCGCTGCGGGTCAACGACCTCGTGCATTCTGCATCGCATTTCATCCTCTCGCTGCTCGTCGAACTGTGACTGGACAGCTCCAGCCAACCAGCCGCTATGAGTCGAGTCAAGCCAGTGACCGCCGCCGCCCCCCCTGTCAATATCACACACACTGACACACTCCTCCCCCATCCCCCATCCATTTGGTCCTATCGCACCGCAAGCACACCTCCAGCAACGCAAAATCCTTTCGCAACGGCGGCCCGTTCTGGTGCTACTCATGCCATAGGCAAAAGGGACCTCAAGCGGCCCACTCGGCATCTTGTTTAGCGAAGCTGCTGGGTTATTAGCGTGTGGATGTTGTAGCAAAAGAAGGCGACTGGGGGGGCCGATGGAGTTCCCTTGACTCCCGATGTACGCGTTTTCGTTTGCTCCTGGACGCCGAGCCGGCGCCTGTGAGTCGAGCCCATGCGGTGATCGCTGAGCCAGTCAATATCGTCAGCTCGGCTCCGGCAGGGCTCGCAAACGGAGGTGAAGAGGGACAGAGAAATTGCTGCCCCAAACATGACCACTCTCCTGGGACCGAACGGGGGGAGAAACCAGAGAGACGCCCCGGCTGTGTTATCCTCATCTGGACGGCGAGACCATCAAGTTTGATATCCCGGCCGTCGATCGGGGCCTGTGACTCGTTCTCTTGTTCTTCTCCCAACAGGACAACCCCCCCCCTCATCCCCCAGCCGTGGCTTGGGCGCCCGGTTGTAGATATAGCACCCGCGCTCGCCTACCTTTCGTCACCTTTAGCTGGTTTCGGTCTTTGTGCTTGTTGCCCTCCTCTGTTCCCCTGCCCTTGGCACACTTTCTTCTGCATTCCTTTTCTCTTAGGTGTCCCTCGGTAATAGCACCGCCGCTCGCTTTATATCCCTCCTCCGCCGATGCCCTTCTAGGAGCCATCCCGATCTACTTACTCTCCTCTCCTCTCCTCCCTCCCCCCTCTCGCTTCCACTTCCCTCTCTCTGCAGCCGTCGTGTTGCTATGCCGGTCGTCAGCTGTCTTGATCGGAAAGGTTGGGACGTTGGATCGTCATGGCCGATGAGTCTCTCGACGTGAACGAATACAATGGCGGCCCTCTGGTGGGCACGTGTATAGCCTTCCTCGCCCTGTCTTGGCTGGCCGTGGGATTGAGGACGTACACGCGGGCCGTGGTTATCAAGGGTATGCAGGAGGATGACTGGCTCATGCTCGTGGCTCAGGTACGTCTTGCGACCTGTCTAACTTCCTTTGATGGGGGGAGAATGTCAGGCTGATGAGCTTGTGCAGGTGATATTCACACTCTCATGCGCTTTTGTTTTTGTCGGTGTTCAGGATGGCATGGGGAGGCATAATGCTGCCATCACAGACGACGACAAGAAGATTTCGGCTCTCATGGTGAGTCTCACCTTCAAACATTTCTAAAAGACCAAACAACTTCTCACAACTTCTCTCTTTTCCAGTGGCAAGCATTGGCCACCGTCACATATGTCATCAACATGATGTTCATCAAGCTCAGCATCGGCATCTTCCTCCTGCGCGTCTCCGCCCGCAAGGTCTACAACTACATCATATGCATCAGCCTCGTCATCATCGCCATCTGGAGCCTCGCCATCTTCTTCTACGACATCTTCCAGTGCAGCCCCGTGCAGAAGCAGTGGGATTTCCGGATCCAGGGGGGCAAGTGCGCGTCGCCTGATGATATCATTGCTGCTGCGTATGCCATTAGCGTCATGACGATTGCGTCTGACTGGTTATATGTGAGGACTGGCTTCTTGGTTGTTGATGCAAACTGATTCTTACTCTCTGTTCTAGGCTCTCCTCCCAATTCCTATGCTGTGGTCGGTCAAGATGACAAGCCAGGCCAAAGCAACCGTCATTCTCATTCTCGGCCTCGGCATCTTGTATGAGCCCATTGTGACCTCCTCATCCCCCTCCCCATGAAGATGCTAAGATGCTAACTCGGCTGTGACCAGTGCTAGCATCGCCACCATCATTAGGATCAAATACCTCAGCACACTCCAAGACACTGATGACTTGCTCTGTACGTCTCATACTGCCCTCCCCAGCCCCCCTACTGGTCAATGACAATGGATCCTAATGCGGCATCGGTGAACAGACTCAGCAACAGAAGTCATGATATGGACCATCATCGAGCCCGGCGTCGCCATCGTCGCCTCCAGCCTCGCCACCATCCGCCCCCTCCTGCGCGCCATGAAAATCCACGGCTTCGAGTCGACCGGCCGCACCCATAGCGCGCCCTCCGCTCACGCGCGATACGCCGCCGCCGAAGACAGACCTGTGCCCCCTAGCAGTACCGCTGGCCGAGCCTACGAGCCCAACAACTTCTCTCTCAAGCATGTCGGACCCGTCTACGACACGGCGACTCCGCACCCATCAACGACGAGGACGAACGTCGGCTTGACCATTGAGCACATGCATTCACATGCCGGCAGGGCAGCGGCCGCTCGGCTGGACAGTCGACAGGGAGGGAAGCGCGCCAGCGGGAGCAAGGAGTACTCTCCCTCAAGGAGCGTCGTCACAGAGGCTACCAATTCGTCGTCCTTTGACGAGATTCACAATCTAGAGGCCCAGAGCCAAGAGACGGGATACTTTGGATACGGTCCCGGCGAGAGGAGACGTTAGGCTTCTTTCTCCTTCTTTACTCTGCTGGCCTCGGCCCTCGTTCTCGGCATTCCTTTTTCTTTTTTTTCCCTTACCTCAATATTTTACTTTCTCTTTGTTTTCTTTCACTCTTGTTATCGTCATGTTCCACTTACGGGCTCAGTCAGTCCTGGTCGGGCACCATTTAGCCGCCTAGAAGGGGGGGGGAGGGGAACGGGCAACCGAGAAAGCCTCACCCTCATCTTTCAACTTCCAGGCGAAGCGGGTAAAATGGAAGATGTGGATACTGGCAACACAAAACCAAAAAGTCTTGGATGTTGGAACAGGGCGACGGGTTCGGCCAACTTTTTTTGAAAACGCTACTTGCTTACACGGCTGCAGTGGCTTTTGTGTTTCGGTACCATGCGAGAATATCTGCATGGATGGATGGAGGGATGGATGTAGAAATGGGACGGGACGGGACGGGGAAATACGGGCATGTAATACCTTTTACTGGCAGGAACCGGGATGAAAGGGAAAAAAGAAGAAGAAAGAAAGAAAGAAGAGAAATACTCCGCAAGGGTCTAGATGACGGACGGAAAAACAGCGTGATTTTTTTTTCCCCCTTGAAATCTTCTCCTTGTGTGGTTTGAGGTGTTTAATTTATGTGCTTTTGTTGGGGAGGAGGGGGAGGAGGGTGAGGACTTGTTTGCGTTGGAAGAGGATGCGTGCGAAGGATTTCAGGCTTGCATGGATGATGGCGTGTACCTGCATGAGGGTATGCATGGTTTGCTCGCTATCGGGACGAGGGGGGGGAAGCGATGAGGAGGATGATGATGAGGAGGAGGAGGGGAAGGAGGAGGGGAAAGAAGTTCAGCTCGTCTGCGTGGTTTATTTTGCCTCATTTTCATTCATATAATACCAAAAATAACAAGGAACATTAAGAAATAAAGCTGAATATATAAGACATTCGTGAATATACTGGACATGACGATAGGCTGGCAAGAGAGCTGGTGATGTCTTGGGTTCCGTCATGGTGCTTGTAAAGAGGTTAGTCAGAAGCTAGGTAAGTCATTGTACCAAAAGCACAAGAGCCATGAAACCGTACGAGTTACGGAGGAGGAGGAGGGGGAGAAGACAAGTCTTGACCAATCGGGGATGTTTGTTGTCGTCGTCGTTGTTGTTGTTGTTGTTATTGTTGATTTATGACAGGGGAGGGGGTTCGGGCTTTGTTCCGAGATGGGAGGCATGGGTGGATGGATGGCTGTGTAGAAAAGAAGGGGTTAATTCACTCTCTATGTTGTATTAGATATATCTCGAAAAATGGCTCAAGATGGTTTGATACAGCAGATGTAGAGACATCAATCACAATTTCCCAGAGCATCACATCAAAACGGCCCATTACTCCTATTTGCACTCACTCGTACCTAAGGTAGGCAAGGATTTATCCAGAACCAGGCCTGCTGCCTGTCATCATCCGATAGCATCTTTTCAATGAACCAACACCTCCAAGCACCGGAACCTGTCCATTATCCAGAAGAGACAAGGGGGGGCGTTGGGAATGTCATCTCCTGCATGCTGTAATCTTATGCCTCGATCCAAATCGAACGCACTATTGAATTTCTTCCCCCGCTCACTCGACCAACAGGCCATGTTCCCCAAAGACAAGGCCAGCCGAGGAAAAAAAGAAAAACATCTCGTTCACAGCCCAGCCGTGTTATTATTGCCTAGTGTGAGTTGCAGGGCAGTGCAGTGCGAAGAAGAAAGAAATTTGCAAGCTTCAAGATCATTACATGAGAGATACAACAGGCAGGCCGTATCGTAGAATCACGGGGATATATGGGAACGCAGACTTTTTAGTTGTTGTGATGCCGTCGTCATTGACTCGAGGCCCAGAGTTTCATTCATGCTTCAATCACCCTTCCTATTGGCTCGCGCCCCCAATGTCGAGCTCCTCGGGCGCAACCTCCCACTCCTCCTCCTCGCTCCATATCGGCGCCAGCACGAACCGCCCCATGATCTTGCCCATGCCGATGCTCTCGCCCGTCGTCACGCCGTTCTGAGGCTTCTCGTCCGACTCCTCCACGATGACGGCCGTCGTCAAGAAGTTCATGCCCGCCGCCGGGCTCATCTCCAGGATGCGGCCCCCCCAGTCCAGCTCCACCTTGCCCGACCTCCGGACGTTGAGCCGGCCGATGAGCCCCCCGTTGGAGAGCGCCTGCGTCCGGAAGCCGTGCCTGCGCTCTTGCTCCTCGTCCTCCTCGTCGTCCGACGATGACGACTCCTCGCCGTCGCCTTGCTGCGTGAGGTCCACGGGTGTGGCGGCTCCGCTGAGGGGCGTTGCGTGCAGGCTGGCAGAAGCGTGCTGCTGCTCCTCCTCCTCCTTGACCTTGATGCGAGGCTGGGGCGCGGCAACCTGCTTCAGAGGGGGGAGCAGCGGGGGGAACTGGAACAGGTATAGTCGACCGTCCTTGTTGGCCGTCTCGTCGGCCTTTTCTTCGCCGTCTCCGTTGATCGTGATGGCGCCCAGCTCGCTGGCCAGGAGGCTCAAGTCTGTGCGAATCATCTTCTCCTCGGGATCTTGAGCGACCGGCTTCTTGGCCTTTGCCTTGGTCAGAGGCGGCTTCTTCTCGTCTGTAGCTGGTTTCGTGTCGACGTCCAGGTCCATCGAGTCGTCTGTCGGCTCCTTCTTGACTCTCGCGGCTCGTTTCCAGTCGCCCTCTTCAGGTTGGTCGACCGGCGGTAATGACCCTTCGCCATCCACCCAGAGGCTCTCCTCCTCGCCCGTTGCGTTGGCGTTTGCCTTTTCTGCCGCCTCCAGTTCTGCCGCCGTGGCCACCATGACTGGCGCCTCTTTGTGTTCTCGCCGCAGGATGCCCATGGGCATGACGCTCCCCGTCCGGGAATGGAGCGCATTCAGCATGGCCTCGTCCTCGCTGTCCAGGTCGCCGTCGTGCGCCATCGCGTGCAGCTTGTCGGCGTTGATTCTCGATTCGCGGAAGCCCCCTTCGCCGGAAAACCCATACCCTGACCCAGACTTGGCCTCGAATTTGCCGGATCTCGCGAAACTGCCGCCTCCGCCGCCGCCGCCGCCGCCCGCACCAAACCAGCCTCCGCCAGCTGGGCCACCTGTCATTTGGTTCTGTCAGCATCGCCAGCACATGCCCCAACCCGTAGCTGCGTAAGGTAGGTTCGAGCTCAAGTGACATGACATACCTGGTCCTCCCATGCCCGAGGAAAACGGCCCGCTGGCTCCGGCTACCGGCCGGCCAAAGGCGCCGCCTCTGCTGCCCATGGCATCGCCGCGACTCCGCTTGCTGCGGAACCGTGACCGGCCTCTGGCGCGCCTCTCGTCCGCCTCCCTCTCGCTCGCCTTCTGCTGCTCCTGCTGGGCCAATGCGTCTCGCTCGGATTCATCTCGCCGGACGTTTTTGGGCCTGAATCTGCCGGTCGAAGCTGCTGCGCGCGCTGCCCGAGCCGATGTCGCTCCCCTCCGGACTGTCGATGCCGCGGGCTGTGATGAAGCGCCCTGCTCGGCGCCTGAGTCTGCCAATCCCATGGTTGCCTGTGGCGCCGCGCTGCCTGTCGACGGCTGGTCCTGGCTGTGGTTCGAGTCGTCGGCGTCGGTCTGCGGCCGTGAAGAAGCTGCGGCGCCGCCTCTCCTGACGCCCCGGGCTGTGGTTCTTCCGCGAACCATGCTGTGGCTGTGCGAGGCTGGCTGTGGTGATGTGTTCAATCGAGAGGAAGTATTAGAAATCGAGTCGCGATGACTGACTTTCCGGCGTTGAATTGATGGAAAATGGAAAATTCAAAAGTTTTGGCGGGGCTCTGATTTAGTGCTGCAACTGTCTGTCCAGGTGGGGGACGACGGAAATTCATACACAAACGCCCCCCCCCCCCCTGCAACAGGCTTAGCTGGTTAACACGATTATTACCTACATTGTCTGGAAGCTCCTCCAGCTGTTTCTGCTGTAAGTCAGGATGCTGCTGCTGCTGCTACTCATGCTTCGATCCACTGTCGATATGACGATAACCCTCTGATATGAATTCTGATTCGCTTCATTGTCATCTCTTGGTCTGGCAAGATATTTGAAGTCTCTTCCGATAAATCCTGTGGCGTAGGCATTTCCAGCTGCTTGTATCAGGGCTCAACGCACATGAGCGCCGAATCGCCAAAATGGCTGGCGATGCTCCCTTCTCTCCTCAACATTGTCCCAATCCACGACCGTCCAGCCTCCACCGTTGCCGCCCCAAACTTGACAATGACGCATCCCCGAACCTGGGCGGCAGACCAGAGTATGTTGTGCTGCTTCTCCATTGCGATTCTCCGTGCTCGCCACCGCTCAAACTCTGGCTTCTCCTCGGCGTCCTTCTCTTGATCCTCCTTGGACCGAAAGTCGCGAGATCCTATCCGAGGAAGGGCGGTGAATTCGGCCATGAAAAAGTCCCCAATAGATTCCATAACGGGCCCTGTAAGTATTAGAGTCCCCAAGACACTCATCTTGTGCATCGTGTCCTTTAACGGCAGCCCAACAGGCTTGCTTCCATCTTGGCTCAAGATGACATTGTCCCGGATGAGCAGCCTCCCCTTTTGCCCCAAATCAGACCCCTGTGTCCAGACCTCGTTGCGCCCCGTCCATCTCGTGAAGCTCCAGTCCTCCCCGCGCGCCGCCCTCCCTTGCGTCACCCAGTCCAGGAGGCACAGCGATGCCCGCTGCCTCAGGGTGAAGATCTGAGTCTGCTCGTACACGCTGTCCTCGAATGGCTGGACGGGATCCGGCAGGAGGCAGACTGCGGCCTCCTCATCCACCTGAACCTGCATCTTCTGGCTGGTGATGATGTCGGGCGTTGCAGACTTGAAGATCTTGGTATGGCCCTGAGTGACCAGGCTGAGGCTCGACCCGCGGCGCATGTGGACGGACAGGTTGACGCCATCGCCACCAACCAGGCCGCCTCCGTAGGAGAGGAGAAAGACGAGGGCGCTTTTCTGGGCGACTGTGGGCGAAGGCGAGATGAGCTTCAGAGGGTACTGGTAGCTGATGGTCTCGAGGCCGCTGCCGCCGGCGGGGAGGAGTCTCACGACGATGCGGCCATCACCGGGGAGGGACGCTGAAGGGGGGAACGGCGACGACGTCATGATAGTCCGGTCATTGTATTGCGAGAGGCTGGTGGAAATGCTGTTATTCCCGTTCAAGTAGGGGTGCATATATATGTGTTAGGTGTCATGAGGGCTTATAGAGGGTTGATGTTCGTAGACGTGGGTGCTTATCTGTGACTGCACCTACCTAATGATAGATGATGGGGGCTCGTGAGGGTTATCTTTGGTAGTATCTAGCGCATGGCAGCTCCTCAGTCAGCCAGGGAGGCACACATTGAAGCGATCCCCTCAAGATATTATGCTAGTATAAATGTTTAGAGTTGGCCAAAAATGACCAAATGATCAGTTCATTTGAAGAATTATTTGCCATCATCAACAAGAAATCACGAGTCCTGCCGGTTCATGAGCTCCCGCAGCTTCATTCTCCAGTTACGGCCCAGCTGGGACTACTACCTAGGTAGGTACCGAATAAGGTAAGGTAATGTAGGTAGAGCCGCCAGGAACAGGCACTGCCGACGTTCAGCCGGGGCCCAGAGTGGGCTGCTCTCTTGCCCACCTCGAAACCCCCCAAACCGCAGCAAATGGCCAGCCAGAAGCAAAAACCGCTGCATGACACAACAGAAAATAACCAACGCGATTCCGTCACCACAGATCCTCAGCCTCGCCGCCAAACCGCCCGCAACCCCCGCTGCCGCCCGGCCTGGCCCTCGACCCGCATGAAGCCATCCAGCGCACACTCGCCCTGCTAGACTCGACACAATGGACGCCAGCGCAACCGCGTCTCCAGAGCCGGAGGCGCGTCGTCGGTCCGGACGCGTCGTCAAAGCTCCCGCCAAGTACGCGCCCGAGCCGACAGCGCCGGCGGCGAAGCGCAAGCGGAACGACGAGGACGCCGACGACGATGCCGACGAGGGCGCCGAGAACGGCGACGCCGCCTCGGACGAGGACATGAGCGATGTCCCCAGCGACGCCGACAGCGACCAGGACCACCCTGCGCCGAAGCCGCGGAAGGCGGCGCAAACCAGCCGCCCAAAGAAGCCGAGCACCAAGAAGCCCAAGATCAACGGCGCCCGGCCCGCCATGGCTGGCACCGTTGCGCGCATTCCCAGTCGGCCCAAGAAGACGGTCCGCATCGATGCTGGAGAGAAGGGGACCGGCCTGTTTGGTATGTCAAGACTGTGATGACGACTTCTCCAGCTTTGCCCCTCTGCTCTCTCTCTTTTCTCTCCTTCTCTCTCCCCCCCTCTCCCCCCCTCTCTCTCACTCATTCTCACTCACTCTCCCTCTCCCTCTCTCTTTCCCTGTTCCTTCTGTCGCTTCGTCACTGACACTGGTTCTTGAATCTGGCTTCAGCCGACATCTTTGCGTCTGGCGATTCTGCTCAGTTTGTTGCCAAGCAATGGCTCGAGAAGTACAAAGAGAGCGATGCGGCTGCCTTGGGCGATCTCGTCAACTGCATCCTGCGATGCGCCGGCTGTGACCTCGAGGTGACGGTTGATGATATTCGCGACCCGGAAAACATTCCTAATCGACTGGTGGATCTGCAAAGTGTTTATCAAGAGGTGCGTATATCATGAGGATCTGGTGATGGAGTTGGAAAGTCTACCAGCTCCATGTGGGAGAGGAGGCAGCAAAATGATGGCAACGTTGCTAACCGACGGCCTGTGCAGCAACAAATCGTCGACTATCCCTTAATCGCCCGCGCCAAGTCCACTCGATCATTCCGAGATCTGCTCATCAATTTCTTCCAGGCTCTCATTACTCTGCTACACGAGACCGACGTCATGTACAAGGATGTCGACCTCGTTGACAACCTCCACGCTTGGTTGGCCAGCATGTCTTCTTCGCCGCTGCGCCCCTTCCGCCACACGGCCACGACGATTTCTCTGGCGATCCAGTCTGCGCTTGTTGATATCGCCAGCGTCCTCGACCGACGCATCGCCAGCATTGAGCAGCAGTTGCAGGCTGCGAAGCGCGGCAAAAACAAGACCAAGGCCGACGAAATCCAGCGCAGCCTGTCCGAGGCTACCCAGAGTCGCAAGATTTGCAACGACGCTATCCAGTCATTCTTCGAAACCGTCTTCGTCCACCGATACCGTGATGTCGATCCCAGGATTCGTGTCGAGTGTGTCGAGGCCCTCGGGACCTGGATATGGAACTTGCCCACGGTCTTCCTCGAGCCCGGCTACCTGCGCTATCTGGGCTGGATGCTGTCCGACACCAACGCGGGAACGAGGCAGGAGGTATTGAAGCAGCTCAACAAGCTGTTCAAGCGCGACGCGGAGCAGCTCGGCCACTTCATCGACCGATTTCGCCCCCGCCTCATTGAGATGGCGACGGTCGATGCCGATGTGTCGGTCAGAGTCGCCGCCGTGTCGGTTATTGACTCGTTGCGGGCGGCCGCTATCCTTGAGCCCAATGAGATAGATGCTATTGGCAGACTCATTTTTGATAGCGAGATCCGGATTCGCAAGGCCGTTGTTGGCTTCTTCATCGCCTGTGTTGGCGATGTGATGGACGTCAAGATTGACCAGATGGGCGGCTCCGATGTTCTGGAAGAGCTGGATCTTGCAGGAGATGACATCTACGAGTCCCCGAGGAGAGACTGGTTGAATCTGAAATGTTTGGCCGAAACTCTCAACACCTATGATAGACAGGTGGAGGAGGCTCAGCGGACAGGAGGGCTTGCGGTGGGACTTGACGTCGACCTGCTGGAGAGCACCATGCCAGAGACAAGAATTTCTCTGGCCACTCAGGTGCTCTATGACAGAATTCCGGAGGTCAAGTCCTGGCAGATTCTGGCCGGCTATCTTCTCTACGACCACACGACGAGTACCAAGTCCAAGTCCAGATCAAAGAAGAACAACCCATCCGAGGATGCATTCAAAAAGGCGGTTGCTCCCAACGCCGTGGAAGAGAAGATCCTACTCGACGTTCTGGGCTCCGCCATCAAGTCGACCTTGCTACACCTCTCCGAGCAAGACAAGAGCAAGAAGCGTGGACCTCGCACCGAAGCAGCCGATGCCCAGGAAGAATTGGCGCTGGAGCTGGCCACGAATATCCCCAAACTGCTGAGCAAATACGGTGCGGAGCCTGAGACGGCGGCCATCGTCCTTCGCCTGGAGCGATGTCTCCAACTGGACTCTTTCCAGCAGCTGCGGCAAGACACTAGCATATACGAGAAGCTGCTCGATGAGGTGATTACGCAGTTCAACAGACATGACGACAAGAGAGTCTTGGCCGAGGCTGCGGCTGCCTTGCTACATGCTCGGCAATTCGAAGAGCTGGAGGAACTGACTGACAGCAAGCTATCCGTTCTTTGGGAGGTGGTCATCGACTCCCTCCGCAGCTTCGACACGACATGCGAGCTCTCCGCCAGAGGCAACTTGGATGAAGCACCTCTACAGGAGCTGTCCACCATCTTGACGAAAATCAGCCAGCTGGCTAGTATATCCGATTGCGTTGACTACCTCGAAATTGCGCCGTCCAAGGGCGATTCCACGTCTCCGGCGATCCAGATACTGGTGAACATTGTTGGCCGCGGAGAATTCGATTCTCTAGAAGGCGACAAGGACAAGCTGGAAGACGAAGTAGTCACTCTGGCAATTAAGGCCTGCCAGTTCTACTTTATGTGGAAGACGCGCAACCTTAGCAACGAGCTATCGTCGGGCTCCGGCATCGCAGACGAAGAGCTCGATAGCCTGTCCATTTTGCGGCAAACCTACCGGAAGCACTTGATCACCACACTCTCGTCTCGAGCTTCCATTGACCAGCTCCGCCTCTTCGCGACCGGCAGCCTCTGCGACCTGCATCTGACATTTGCCTCGTTGCGCCCGGTAGTAGCCCGCCCTTCAAGTTCCGCTTCTCGATCGGGCGGGAACGAAAAGTTCAAGGTCTTGGTTCAACAGATTGAGTCCACTCTCGTTCCCGAACTGACGGCCATCTTCGAGGGCGCGGAGAAGAACTATGCGAAGAAGGCCAAGAAGGACAGGATACTGAACGAGCCTGCCGAAGACGAGGACCCCGTTGATGACGAAGAGTCCTCTGACGAAGAGGACGAAGACGAGACCCTGTCCAAGGAAGAGCGGCTCGCCGCCGAACTCAAGGCCGAAAAGGCCCTGTGCGAATTGACCGCCAAATACGTCCTCATCATCACGGCAGACCTCATCGAACCCAAGGGCGGCCAGGTCAACAAGCTGAAGCGGCGGCTGCAGCGCAACGCGACCAAGCTGGGCCACAACTTCAAAGAGGTCGTCGCCTATCTCGACTTGGAGAAGATGAACAAGCGCAACAGCAACAAGAAGTCTGCCAAGACGGCGACGGCGACGACGGCGGCACCGGCTGAGAAGCAGCCGCAGAAGACGGCCCTGAGCGCAGAGATTGTCCACGATGAGGACGACGACGACGAGGAAGAGGACGCCTTTGAGGATGCTGCGCCAGAGGAGGGCACGAGGGAGGATCTTCGGAGGAGGGGCCTACTGGATGAGGATCCTATTGAGGATGACGAGGATGAGGAGCAGCATGATGCGGAGAGGCAACACGACGAGGCAGATGATGATGTCCTCGGCGATTGAGCGAGAATATCAAGAGGAATCGCATGAATGATGAAGGGAAAAAAAAATATCAGGAATGAGGGATGCGAAAACAAAAAGTGTCTCTCGTTGTGGACATGAACTGGTTTGGCTGTTTTGTTGACTTTATGATATGGATTCAGGGGGGGTCATCTTCTTCTTCTTCTCACTGCCAGGGTACCTTATCGAGCTGTTGTACTTTTTTCTTCTTCTTCTTACATTACGTCCGTGTCTTTTCACTTTCTTCCTATCTTTTTTGGCAACGATTACTATCCACTTCTCACTTCCTGTTTACCTCTGAATATGGTTCTGATGCCCTTGTGATGCTCTTGGATGAAGCCTAAGGAGGGGAACCATGATGTGGCAAATGAGGATCTAGAGAGGAGATTATGCAAACTTGGGTGGCTCACTTTTAGTCGGCAGTACTGAATCCCCGCGGACTGCCACAAAGAGACATCCAACGAGTCAATGAAGTCTCATATCTAGGACAAAAGATCATGCAAAGTATGCCCTTGGAGCGAATGCATTTGACATGCTGGACTATCCAATCCATCGTGGCTATTCAGATCCAGGCAAACAAGACAGAGAGCATGTCAATATTCCACTCAGTCATACGCAATCCTCGTCCCAAACAACCCAAACATCCTCTGCCACCTCTTCCCCTCTCCAGCATCCGCCTTGCGCGGATCCTCCTCAGCGACCTTCACCCCGTACTGGTGAATGCAGCATGCAAACGGCCTCGTGAGGACGTGCGACAGCGGCTCGACCTGCTGCATATGCGCCGCCCCGCGCTCATCGTCGGAACTGTGTGAAGGGGGCCGGTTTGCTGTCCCTCTGTTTGCTAAAGCGGCTCGGCGTCTTTTTTCCCTTTCCGATGTCTTCCTTTCTTCCAGTTCGCCCCACAGGAGGGACAGCCGGTGACGTAGAGTCTCGAGCTCGTGTTGATTCTTCCGCAAGTCAGAAGCGTCCAGGTTGACGAGACACTGCGCAGAGAAATTGTTCACTGCGACCCAGATGGATTTCCTCTCCCCTTGTTTGTCCGATGAGGGACTCGCGTCTTCCAGCTCCAAGAAGAAGCGCCATTCCCACACCCGCGTCGTGGTGCCGTCCGCCGTGGACTCTCCACCAGAGTCTGAAACGTCCTGGTCCAGCTCTTCGTTATCGGAAAGCATATCGTATTCCGTGGTCCGCCTCGGCCGAGCAAAGTCCTCGAGATCGGGGGGCATAAAGTTGACTACCCGAACGTGTGCCCGGTAGTTCATATTCACAAATGGGAGCCGTAACTTGACCTGCTGGCCATTGATGTCCGTTTCCAGATACACGGGCTCCAGAATGCTGTCAATGGTGCTGATGGCTTTCTGTTCATAATCGCATTTCACTGTTCGTTTTAGTCATGTTATACAGCAGACAATGAAAGGCAGGGGAGCATACCGTGAGATAATATTGTTGGAGGAGCCAACGCCGTAGCAGGAACGACACTCGGCTCATCTTGTCCTGTAGTCTTCTTGCTTCTCCGCCTCGACTGTTTTGACCTTTTTGATTTGTCGCTTGATGTTGGCTCCGTCTCGGCCAGCTGGCTTTTTCTCTTCTGCCCGGCTATTGCTGCGTCGGATAAGTCTTTCAGGCGGTCTCGCTTTTCCCGTTCATAGTCGCGTTTGCGGCGGATAGCCTCCTTGAGGCGGGGGTCGGGAGAATCTGTGTTTCTAGGATCCAACTGCTGAATGTTGATCTTTTGACTGGACGACCCCCTGTCTTCCCTCAAAAATCCTTCGAGATTGGCGGCGTTGCGGCCGAATTTGATTTGGAGATTCCGAAGCAGCACCCAAGAGTCCGCAGACAGCCCCTGTTCTCTGATAACCGACGTGTGCGGATCGTAGCAGGTGACCTGCATGCTTCGCTTACCAAAAGGGCCCTTCCACTCTCCGCCGGCGCCGGCGCCAGCCCCATGAAGCATGGAAGGCATGTAGCTGTCTTGTCCCTGAAGAGCATCAAGCCCCTTGTATGTAAAGTGAAAGAAGTGGTCATTCTCAGTGTAGTCCGAAACCCACAGAGTGACTCTGTCGCCGGTGTCATATGGCTGCCTGACTATTTGAACCACTACGTCGACAAAGGTGCCGTCCCGGACATCCTTGAGTTCCTTGGACTTGCCGGTGTGAGTAGCGGATCTTGTCTTCATAACCTGGAACTCAGCCTCTGTCGGAAGATTGCTCTTGTCGATTGAGTGATAGAGATGCGAGACATATTCATGCACGACCTGTCCAGGGCTATGAGCTGTCTTTCTGGACAAGGGGCGCAGCGCCTGCAAGGCCCCCTCTGGCGGACGTGGAATCTCACTTGATGAGTACAGATGAATGTCGGTAGTTCGGTGCGTCACCAGTGAGAGCTCGTTGGCGTGTGATTGCAGCTGGCATCTTTCTTAGCAAATGTAGAACTGCCATGCTCAGTAGAGGACTGGCCAACCTTGGCTTGATAGAGCACTATCACGTCACCGACACTGGGATTGGGCATCTCATTCTCTGGCCGAAAGATGTTGATTGTAATGGAGTCGAAGGAGCCATCTTCGACAGAATGATCATACAGCTTGATCTCACACTTCCAATCTAGGAATCAGGCAGAGGTACTTAGATCTCATAGCCCTGAGTTCGCGGAGAGTGAGTGAATGCTTACCGGTCCCTCTGGTGGGAACAGGGGCTCGAAAGTCCTTGACGACGCCAATGACGTTGAGTAGGTTCCCGACTCCACGCTTACGGTCCAGTATATCCCGGACCGTGATGAAGCCGCTGGGTAGAGGGTTCTGCCGCTTGTTGCCGTGGGGAGCCATTGTTGGGCATGGCGTCGATCATGTGGTGAGAAGACTCAGCCTCGTCTGAAGCATAGTGGGAGGCTATTCGGCACAGTGCATATCGGCCACGAGGCCTTGACTGCCGGAGACGGGCAAATGGTGGTTTGGGTGACAGGAAACGCGCGTGAGGACGATGAAGTCGCGTCTTGATGGAGGCGTCTGCTGTAGTAAGTTGAAGCACTGTGTGAGCGAGAGCTGTTTGCAAGGCGCGAGAGCACGTGACGACACAAGTCGCTTGTACTGTACTTACCTAATAAGGCACCTGGGTATTCCACACCTAGTAGCTTGTTGCTGGAGTTCACTGAAGCCAATAATACCTTACTAACTTTGATATGCTTAGAGGGAGCTGTCGTAAGGGCAACATTGACTCATCATCTACTAGGTACTATTGGTGTCACGTCCATACGGTACAGTACAGTAGTAGAGATCAATACGAGAGACATCAATGTATTTGTCTTCCCTGCTTTCGTCGCCGGGGAGTGAAACAAGCTGGATGACGGGAGGCGGGTGGCTACTATTTGGTACCTAGGCTTGCCACTAACAGGCTCTACCGGGTGGCGCACATTAGCAGAGTGGCCCAAGCGAGTACTCGTCGCTAACGGGCAGCAGCATTGGATGCCACCATGAGCGCAGCCGTGCCACCTTGATGCCTTAGGCATCGCGCCTGGGCGGCTGCTACCAGAACCTGGAAAGCTTTTAGCGGCGGCTTCAGCGTCCTGGCAGCCCGCAACAGGCAGTGAAAAGGCCTTGCCGCAGCCCGCCCAGGCCCAGCACCTGAGTTTTGGTCCTCTGTCTGCCCTGTAATAACCCGCCCGATTTCTCCCCTCCCTCCCATCACCAACCAGAACTTTTCCCTCTCCTCTGCACAACTGCTCCGGAACAGCAGGGACGCACCTGATTCAACCGCAGACCTTTACGGACAGCGTCTCGTCGTCGACGGTGCCATCGCCGGCATCCTGAATCGTCCCCGCGCAGCATCAGCATCAGACACTCAACCCCTGCTCTTTTGTCCTCTCTGCCCTGCCCGCCTTTCGTCTTCCCACTTGCAGGCCGCATCGTCAGCACCATGGCGGACCGATACATCCCAGAGCATCGCCGAACCCAGTTCAAGGCCAAGAACACGTTCAAGCCTGACGAGCTCCGTCGCCGCCGCGAGGAGCAGCAGGTCGAGATCCGCAAGGCCAAGCGCGAGGAAAACCTAGCAAAGCGACGAGGCATCGGCACTGGCGACAACCGCCCAGGCGCCTCTCTCGGCGCCGCCCCCGACAGCGACGATGAGTCTGCCCCTACCGAGTCTCAGGTATGCACAGCTCGAGCTCTTTTCTTCTTCTTTTTGATTCTGTTCTTCATCCCACGCCTGCCCGCCGCGGTGCCCTCACATGACGGCCCATCTGCCTGCCTTGCAGCTGTCTTTTGGCTGTGATGCTGTGCTTTGCTTGTGATGTGGGGGATTTCTGACTGAACCCCACATCCTCGGTGGCGGGCACTTTGACTGGGCTGGGAGCCGCTGCACATCAGCTGTTGTGCAGGCTTGTTCTACATAGCCAGACAGCGAAGATGCTGGGCTCGGCAGTGCGGCGGGAGAAGATCTCGATGATGATGATGATGATGATGACAATACCTTTAAGAGTCACTGGCTAACATGGCATCAACAGCTGAACGAGGATCTTCCTCAGATGGTTGCTGGCGTCTTCTCCGACCAGATCGATCAGCAAATCCAGGCCACGACCAAGTTCCGAAAGCTTCTCTCCAAGGAGCGCAACCCTCCCATCGAGGAGGTCATCAAGACTGGCGTCGTCAGCCGCTTCGTCGAGTTCCTGCGATCACCCCACACCCTGGTGCAGTTCGAAGCCGCCTGGGCCCTCACCAACATCGCCTCCGGCTCGGCCACCCAGACCCAGGTCGTTATCGAGGCCGGCGCCGTCCCCATCTTCGTCGAGCTCCTTGGCAGCCCTGAACCCGATGTGCGAGAACAAGCCGTTTGGGCTCTCGGCAACATCGCCGGCGACAGCCCCCATTGTCGCGACTACGTCCTGAGCTGCGGTGCCCTCAAGCCTCTGTTGGCCCTGCTCGGCGACAGCCGCAAGCTCAGCATGCTTCGCAACGCAACCTGGACTCTGAGCAACTTCTGCCGTGGCAAGACCCCGCAGCCCGACTGGAACACGGTACGTACACTGCCTATGACCTCCAGGTTTCTGCCCCCCCTCAACAAGTCACTCTAACATCACTGTCGTTTACAGATTGCGCCCGCTCTTCCCGTCCTGGCCAAGCTTGTCTACTCTCTTGATGACGAAGTCTTGATCGATGCTTGCTGGGCCATCTCGTACCTTTCCGACGGCTCCAACGACAAGATCCAGGCCGTTATCGAGGCCGGCATCCCCCGCAGACTCGTCGAGCTTCTTCTGCACGCGTCCACCTCGGTGCAGACCCCCGCCCTTCGATCTGTCGGCAACATTGTGACGGGCGACGATGTCCAGACCCAGGTCATTATCAACTGCGGCGCTCTCCCATGCCTCTTGTCGCTCCTCAGCTCAACCAAGGACGGCATCCGCAAGGAAGCCTGCTGGACCATTTCCAACATCACTGCCGGAAACTCGTCCCAGATCCAGGCTGTGATTGATGCCAACATCATCCCTCCTCTGATCCACCTTTTGCAAAACGGCGATCTCAAGACTCGAAAGGAAGCCTGCTGGGCCATAAGCAATGCCACGTCTGGCGGACTTCAGAAGCCGGAGCAGATCCGATACCTCGTCTCTCAGGGCTGCATCAAGCCCCTGTGTGACCTCCTTGCCTGCCCCGACAACAAGATCATTCAGGTTGCCCTCGACGGCCTCGAGAATATCCTCAAGATAGGAGACTTGGATAGACAGGCTGCAGGCGACGGCGCCGACTCCATCAACCGCTATGCGCTGTTCATTGAGGAGTGCGGTGGCATGGAGAAGATCCACGACTGCCAGAACAATGCCAACGAGGAGATCTACATGAAGGCGTACAACATCATCGAGAAGTACTTCTCCGACGAGGAGGAGAACGCAGACGAGGGCGCCGCCCAGCCCACCGGCGCCAACGGCACCTTTGGCTTCGGAACCAACGGTGCTGCGCAGTCTGGCGGCTTTAACTTTGCCAACGGAGGCGATTCGATGGACATGTAAGAAGTCGGCGCTTTGTTGTCATGAACTTTTACGACTTTCGGTGCTTGGAATGCATCACGCTGGAAGACTGCCGTGTTCCCACAGTTGGTTGCCAATACCAAGATTATAACCCCCTCCCTCGCACACCCCCTCACATTATTGTCATCAACACAAGCAGCAGACTACACTTTGTTTATTCACAGCTCTGCTTATAACCACTCCCCCCAAAAAAACCCATTTGGCAACAACACACTAAACCCCCCCTAACCCCCTAATTTGGCTTGGCAATTTGTGCGAGGAGAGAAGAGAAAGAGAGAAGGAAGCAGAATTGCCCAGCCGGAAAGCAGGCCCTATGGTAGCTTGAAAGCTCCAGCCTGACAAAGGAAAATGCCGCGATTGAGGATGGAGCAGTCCGATTGAGTCTGAAGCAGGAAGATAATGGGCAAAAAGTTTTGATGGACACGGGTCTAGATGGCTAATGCCATTGAAGAGCAAGCAGGGAGGCCTGCTCGACCCTCCCCCCTTGTCAACTGCCTGCCCGCCTCGCCACCTGCCCGTGTATGTCTGGATCCGGCAGCCTGGTGGCATGTATCAAGGTGACACGGCAGAGAGGAGCCAGTGCCAGTGCATTGTGCTTCTGTTGGAAGAGTCGTTGGAAGAAAAAAAGAGACTGCTCTTGATGCAACAATCAAGTGTTTGTGCATCTCTCATCTGCGCATTCAGGTAGTAAAATAAGAGGCAGATTATTCCTATTCAAAGGTCGATCGATGATGGTTAACAGATTCATGGACGTGAGAGCGATTACTGTGACCTTGGAATTGAATTTCGAATCATGTCTTTGTCTGTCCTGCAGACACCCCTAAACATCAGACAGATGCAGTACTGTGCACATGACAGTATTAAAACTGTGCCGGGAAACGGAGGAGAGAGAGGAAGGCAACTCAACGGGTAGATTGGGACACAAAGATTCCACACCGTCTTTTATATAGTTGACTGATTTGCAGTTTGGATATTGATAGCTCATCTAGTTCAAAAGACACAGTCTACGCTGAAGTTTTGGCAGAGTTCAACATTGCATGTGGCATTATAGCATGCGTTCAGTTTCCAGGCGGTCCGGTCCGTCTGTATCTGAGCTACACAGTGCAAAGATCCGAGCCTGATGTGGCTCCATAAAAAAATCGCAGGAGTCTCTTGGGCGAATGGCGAAAAAAGTTGAGGAGGATGGAATAATACAGACTGGGCTTGTTGAAACCAGGAGGAACGCTTACGAATATCTGGTCTGGAAGACGTTTCTTTCCTTTCTTCCTCTCTTCATTGAGATACCCTTCTGTGTCTGCAGTGGTCTCAACTTGCCACCTCTGTGTTGCGTGAGAATCATAGAGGCGACCTTTGACCTCTTGCTTCCCCCCCCCTTCATTTGTTGGCGGCTCAACGACACACACACACACTTGATATAGCATGGTAAAGAAGGGCAAGGTGAAGGCCGCCGCGCCGACACCAAGCCAAGCCTCTGCAGCATCCAAGGATGGAAACGGAGGCGCAAGCGGCAGCGGCAGCGGAACCGGCAAGGGCAAGAAGGGACAAAAGGGAGCAGCAGCAACAGCAGCAGCAGCAGCAGCAGGAGATGCGGCCGATGCGGCGCCAGCGGCAGCCCCCAAGCCGACGGTGAAGCAGCTCATCGGGGGCTCGTCGTGGACGGGCAAGCTGCCGGTGAACCTGCTGAGCGAGCACTGCCAGAAGCAGAAGTGGGACAGGCCGGTGTACGACACGCGCAAGACGGCCGAGGGCTTCTCGGTGTGGGTGACGCTGAGCGCAAAGGACCCCAAGACGCAGCAGACGACGACGCTGGAGCCCTTCAAGATCCCGGCGACGCACAAGCACCTGCTGCTGCGCGAGACGGCGCTCGAGGCCAAGCACGCCGCGGCCACGTACGCGCTGTTCCGCGTGTGCAGCATGCAGAACAAGCACACGGTGCTGCCGCCCGACTACAAGGCGCTGTGGAAGGACTTCCAGGCGCTCAAGGCCCAGGACGTCAAGGACGGCAAGGCGTGGATGTACGAGGCCGACCCCTTCCGGGCGCTGCTCGAGCGCCAGGAGTCCAAGGCGGCGGCGGACAAGAAGCGCAGGGAGGTCGAGCAGGCAAAGGCCAAGGCCAGGGACCTTCCCGGCGCCGCGGGCCTGGTGCTGCTGAGCAACACGGGCAGCGGATCCGTCTCCAACGCGATGAAGGGGTGGACGTCGGTGCCAAAGGTCGAGATGGGGAGGCAGACGAGGATCCAGCTGGAGGCCCTGCTGAGAGAGGGCGTGACCTGGAATCCTCATGGCGTCACCATGCCCCCGGCCGAGAAGAAGAGCGTCGTTGCCGAGCTCAGCAAGCTGGGTTTCCGGCAGAGCCACGTGGCAGAAGCCGTGGAATACTGCAAGGACCGCCAGGAGACGCTCGAGTGGCTCTTGATCCACGTTCCCGAGGACGATCTTCCCCGGTGGGCTCTTCCGGAGAAGTACTCGGCTGGCGTGACCATCGGAGCGACCGATCTCAAGAGAGAGGGCGCCATTCAGCGCCTGTCTCAGACGGGGTACTCGGTCGAGCTGTGTACCCGCGTGCTGGATGAGCATGGCGGGAACGAAGACGTGGCTGCCGAGGCGCTACAGAATATCCTCTTGCCAGCATCAGCCACAAACCAGCAGGGGACTGAAGAAGCAGCTGGCGACTTTTTGGACTTTGGAACGCCCCAGGAGCAATGGGATGAGGAAGTGGCTACGCTGGAATCCATCTACGGCAACAATTTCCGTCGAGAGGGAGACAACATTATCCAGATCCGCCTCGAGTCGGTCAAGGATGCGCAGAACGGAGACGTCGAGACCTTTTTGCAGGTCCGCAGGGGCTCGAGCTACCCGCGACACCTCATCCTCGCCATCATTGCGAAGCTGCCTTCGTATATCAAACTCAGTATAGTGAAGCGAATGCTGGCGCACATTGAGGAGGAGTTAAAGGACGAGCCCGCCAAGATCTATCTCGTGGTGGACTGGATCCAGCACCACATCAACGACATCATTGCCAATCCGGGCAAGCTTCTAGACATTTCAGCCGTTTCCTCAGCCGCCTCCGAGACTCGACCGGCCAAGTCCGTGGCAAGGAGCAAGCGCTCGCGAGCTCCGCCAAGGCTGCTGAAATGGATCGTCGACAACAGGAGCAAGGAGGAGTGGCTTCGGCGGCAGGGAAATCCGGCACAGAGGGAGATGATTACGAAGCGTCAGGCCCTGCCAGCCTGGCAGATGCAGGACGCCATCGTGCAGACAGTCAACAAGAACCAGGTCACCATCATCAGTGGCGAGACTGGCTCGGGAAAATCAACGCAGTCTGTACAGTTCCTCTTGGACGACTTGTACGAAAGGGGGCTTGGCGGGTGCGCAAACATGATTGTCACCCAGCCACGGCGAATCTCGGCGCTGGGACTGGCGGATCGAGTGGCCGAAGAGCGATGCTCGCGGGTGGGAGGTGAAGTCGGATATGCGATCCGCGGCGAGTCTCGACAGTCGAGGGAGACGAGGATCACCTTTGTCACCACTGGTGTGTTGCTCCGGAGGCTTCAGACGTCGGGCGGCCGAGTCGACGACGTCGTGGCCTCTTTGGCCGATGTCAGTCACATCATCATTGACGAGGTTCACGAGAGAAGTCTGGACACTGATTTCCTTCTCAACCTGCTCCGAGAGGTCATGATCCAGAAGAAGGATATGCTGAAGCTGGTGCTCATGTCGGCGACGCTCGATGCGGCCACGTTCAAGAGCTACTTTGAGTCCGAGGGGCTGAGCGTGGGAACCGTTGAGATTGCGGGCCGGACGTATCCCGTTGAAGAATACCACCTCGACGACGTGATTCGCATGACGGGCTTTGGCGTGGATGGACCCGACGATGGAAGCTTCATCGGCGACGAGACGATGGGCAAGGTCATTCAGAAACTGGGCCATCGGATCAACTACAGCTTGATCACCGAAGCCGTCAAGGCCATCGACTACGAGCTATCGTACGAGAAGAAGACGGGCGGCATCCTCATCTTCTTGCCGGGCGTTGGGGAGATTAACCAGGCCTGCAACAGCCTCCGATCCATCAACTCACTCCATGTCCTCCCACTGCACGCCTCGCTCGAGACCAAGGAGCAGAAGAGGGTCTTTTCCAGCCCTCCACCCGGCAAGCGGAAAGTGGTCGTGGCTACCAACGTGGCAGAGACCTCCATCACCATTGACGACATCGTGGTCGTGATTGACAGCGGAAAGGTCAAGGAGACGAGCTTTGACCCGCAGAACAACATGAGGAAGCTGGAGGAAACGTGGGCATCCCAAGCGGCATGCAAGCAGCGACAGGGCCGAGCCGGTCGTGTCCAGGCAGGCAAGTGCTTCAAGCTGTTTACGCAGAATCTCGAACAAAACATGGCACCTCGACCCGAGCCCGAGATCAGACGCGTGCCTCTGGAGCAGCTATGCCTGTCGGTGCGCGCCATGGGGATGAAGGACGTGGTTCGGTTCCTCGGCCGATCGCCCACTCCGCCAGCAACGCCGGCGATTGAGGGCGCCATGACGCTGCTGCGGCGAATGGGGGCTCTGGACGGAGACGAGCTGACGGCCATGGGGCAGCAGCTGGCCATGCTGCCGGCGGACCTGCGGTGCGGCAAGCTCATGGTCTTTGGCGCCATCTTTGGCTGCCTGGACGACTGCATCACGATTGCCGCCATCCTGAGCACGCGGAGCCCGTTTGTTGCGCCGCAGGAGAGGCGCGACGAGGCGCGGGAGGCCCGAATGCGCTTCTACAGGGGCGACGGCGACCCGCTGACGGACCTGGAGGCCTTTACGCAGTGGGACGAGATGATGCGGGATCGAGGCACGCCGCAGCGCGAGATCCGCCGGTTTTGCGACGACAACTTCCTGTCCTTCCAGACGCTGACGGACATTGCCAACACGCGGAGCCAGTACTACGACGCGCTGACGGAGATTGGAATCCACTCGCCCTCGTCCCAGGCGGCGCCTGGCGGTCGCAACACGCTGCTGCTGAGGGCGCTGGTGGCCTCGGCCTTTACGCCGCAGATTGCGCGGATCCAGTACCCGGACAAGAAGTTTGCGGCGTCGGTGTCGGGCGCCGTGGAGCTGGACCCGGAGGCGAGGGCCATCAAGTACTTTTGCCAGGAGGCCGGGCGGGTGTTTGTGCACCCGAGCAGCACGCTGTTTGGGAGCCAGGGGTTCTCGGGGAGCGCGGCGTACATGTCGTACTTTAGCATGATTTCGACGACCAAGATTTTCATTCGGGATTTGACTCGTGAGTTTGAACCCTCCCCTCTCCTCTCCAGTTGTTGTCACGTATCATTCTCTTTTTGTCACTGTTGTTGTTAGTGTGTTTGTTTGTCTGTTGTTGTATGCCCCCTTTGACTTTTGCTATTTTTTTCTGTTACTGTGACTTGTTTGCTCCTTTAGAAGCTAACAGCTATCAGCTCTGAACGCGTACACGCTGCTCATGTTCTGCGGCCCCATTGAGCTCGACACGCTGGGCCGCGGCTTGTTGGTGGACGGATGGCTCCGGCTCAGGGGCTGGGCGCGGCTGGGCGTGCTGGTGGCCCGGCTGAGGGCCATGGTGGACAGTCTGATTGCGGACAAGGTGGAGAATCCGGGGCTGGATCTGGCGGGGAGCAAGATTATCAAGCTGGTGATTAAGATGATTGAGCTGAACGGGCTGGATGCGTGATGATGCCGTCTGAGAACGGAGATTATCACGTTTTGGCGAGGGACGCTTTGTGAATGGGTGGTAGAGAACTACATACTCGAGACTCCTGCAGGATATAAGGAGCACCGTACAATGAGAGCAATGGTGAACGCCGAAGCCATCTGATTGACTAGATGGCGTATACTTGTATACATCAACTGCGCGTCCATGATGGCATAGTGAAGCCATATCCAATGCTGTGGGGCTGCCGATTCAGGCACATGCCAGAGTCTCTACATACAAGGCCACATTATTAGCTCTTCCCCACAGCACGTTAGAACCTGCCCCAAGGCTCAAAGCTCAAGCCATCAATCACTTCACTCACTCACACTCACTCACTCAACCTCGCGTTCACGTGCAGTTTTCAGCCGCCTCTAAAAAGAACATCCTCATGTTCCGACTCTCGGCATCTCAATCGGCGTCCATACATATCAGTAAAGCGAGCAGGTATGCATGCCCACTTGATACCTGAAACTCGGTTTTTGAAAGCTGATTCTGAGTCCGTGAAGCAGAATCGGCAGGGCAAAGAGGATGCAGCAGGAGCAGGACGAGCCGCCGTCGAAGCGGGCAAAGCAGGATGCGTGTAGGTACAACCTCACATCATCATCCTTCTATCTGCCCACATCATCCCCAATCATATCGAATCAAATCATTTTCTCAATCCCCAACTCTCACTCTCAATTCTCAAAAAGAGACGATATAAAACCAAAAAGCTAAGGCAAAAACTCCCCCAAAAGTCGCCAAACTCATGGCCCCAAAACCATCATCCTCAACCCCCGCATCATCACAACCAACCCTCAAACCCCCGTCCTCCAAACCGCACCCCTTCAACAAGAACCGCATGGCCCTCGGCGCCTACATCGACTCCCCCGAATCCTTCCCGCCCTCCATCGTCATCTACCACACCGCCGACTTCGTCGTCATCCACGACAAATTCCCAAAGGCCACGGTGCACACCCTGCTCTTGCCGCGATCGCCCCGGCATCGCCTCCTGCATCCCTTCGAGGCGCTCCAGGACGTCGAGTTTCTGGGCAAAGTACAGGCCGAGGTGGACAAGCTCAAGGTCCTTGCCGCCGGGGAGCTGCAGAGGAAGTTGGGCAGGTTCAGTCGCTCCGATGCGAGGCGGGAGGCCGTTCTCAACGGTGAGGCAGAGCCTGAAGAAGATGATGAGACAGCACGAGACCGCGGATCAATACGACAACAACAACAACGAGATCAAGATGTAGGAGAAGAAGGAGAAGAAGGAGAAGAAGAAGAGACACATACACGAGGAAAGGAGACAACAAAGGAACCTCGGCTTCCCCAAGGAAGAGACTGGCTCGCGGAGATACGCTGCGGCGTCCACGCCGTCCCGAGCATGGGACACATGCACGTCCACGTCTTCTCGCGCGACATGCACTCGCCGTGCCTCAAGCACCGCAAGCACTACAACTCGTTCAACACGCCCTTCCTCGTCGACATTGCCGAATTCCCGCTCGCAAGGGAGGACATTCGGCGCGGCAGAGGCACCCGCGAGGAGAGCTTCATGAAGAGGGATCTGGTGTGCTGGCGCTGCGGCAGGAATTTTGGCAATCGCTTCAAGGAGCTCAAGGGGCATCTCGAGGACGAGTTTGAGGAGTGGAAGAGGGAGTGAGTGAGTCAGCTCGCCTTGTCCACAGTCATGACAAGCTGATGCGGTGGTCTTGAGGCGTTACGATACGGGGCGACTAAGGGCACGCAAGGGGGGGACTGGCAAAGTTTGAAAAAGAAAAGAACATGCTGATAATTCCCTGCCACTGCCTGTGACTGCTCCAGGGTTGCGGTAGATGATGACGATAATAGGCCCTGCAAGCCGCAGATGAATAAAGATGAACAAGCATCCCCCCGTCGTCGTCGTCCTGCGCTGCCTCCCACATCTGCTTCTTCCCTCCAGCGCAGGCAAGACAGCCGACTTCCCAATAATACATTTGGAGATTCCCAAGAACAAACACCCCCAAGCCCTTTCTCAGTCCGATAGTCGTTTGCTTGAGTCTTTTTCTTTCCTTTTTGACCAAAATGCTGTCACACCCCCGGCAAGACCTTGTTCTCCTTTGCATCCCCAGCCGTCCACATGTCTCGTACCACACATTCGCATTCGAGCAAGAACATGAACCAAACGCGCGCTCCAGTCAAAAGCCTTTTCATTCATCGTCATTGTCATAATCAACTTGATCCTCCTGCGGCAGCCAAAGACAGCATGGAATACCAGAATCAGCCAATCATGTTCTTGAATCGTGAGAACCACGCAGGTGATGTGAATGATGATGAAGGACCGACCTCGTATTCGGGAGACTGCCGCGGCGTGAGGGCCGATTTGGTCCCGGCGCGAGCACCACCAGTCACGTCTACAAGGAAGAAAATATGGCTTTCGCGTGAGTGGCCTGGTTCTCTCTCTCTCTCTCTTTTGTGTGTATGTGTGTATATGTGTGTTTGTGTTTGTTTGTGTGTGCATGTGTATGTGTATGTGTATGTGTATGTGTGTTTGTGCTTGGTGTTTTGCCCGCTTGGAGTTTCTTTGGAATCCCAAAGGCTCAAGCAGTCTTGTGCTGGCGACGGTTGGACTTACCACCGGTGCCCGGCTGGTTGTCGGCGGCATCGTCTCCGGCCTCAGCCTCGGCGTCGGCGCCAGCCTCGGACTCTGCCGCCGCCCGGCCCTCGTCGTCGTCCTCCTCCTGAGCCTGAGCCTGCGCCTGCGCCTGCGCAACGTCCGACTTGCGCGGCCTGCCGCGTCCGCGCTTCTGCCCGGGGGCCAGCGGCGCGCTGGGCTTCTTTGGTGTCTTGGCCTTGGACTCGCCGGGCTTCTTGAAGCTGCCCTTGGGCCGTCCGCGCGGCCGGCCGGTGGGCACGTACGGCGGCTTGGAGGGGGATTTGGTCGTCGAGCCCTTGGGGCGGCCGCGGCCTCGGCCGGGCGTCTTCTTCACGCCGGCGTCTTCCGTGGGCTGGCGCGTGATGTCTGTCGCCGCGTTGGCGGCCGCGGCCTTGGCGTCGTCCCTGGTGCGCGCCATGGAACAGCGAGATAGAAAGGGAAGCTTGGAGGTTTGTTGTTTGGTTGTTTTTGTTTTGTTGCTTTTTGGTTTGTTGTTGTTGGCTTTCGGTGGCGATAAAGGGGTCTCGCAAGGTGAAGGAAAATATGGAGGGTATTCAGGCGGTGGAATTCGGTTGCCGCGGAGAGAAGGGTGAATTGACTGGCTGTGAAGGATTGCAGGTGGATTGGTTGTGGTATGTGATGGAGAGACGGAGGAGGAGGTGAGGGAGTGACGGCGGAAGAGGAAAAAAAAAAAGAAAAAAAAAAGGGAAAAAAATTCGGGGAAGGAAAATGGATGCAAGATACGCGACTTTGCGCGAGTCGAGACAAGGCTAGGAGCAGGTGGGTTAGCAGCGTTGCACGGAGCTGTACCCAGGGACCACCTGCAAGCTGGTGCTGAGCTGCTGACGACGCGTTGGCGGGCTTTGTTGTGAGCTGAGGCGACAGAATTACAGAGGCAGAAGTGAGGCTGTCGTGAGGTGGTAGATGAAGAGATATTTCTGACACGTCTGAGCTCGCTTGTGTCTTATGTAATCTTGTCTCCCCCACAGAGCTTATGTACGTAGTAGTAGCTGCCAAAAGAATGGAACCCCGGAAGAGCTGGAGACGCCACGGGACGGATCAACTCCGGCAATGGGAGCTGCAGCAAGGATTAGATCGATACCTGGTACTAGGTATAGAACAGCCCATCAGCCACAGCAACAAATAATGGCCCAGCCACAGTTACACCACGGGTGTGGCAGGTGCACGCAAGTCCTGAACTACCTACTAAGGTAGCAGTCACCAACCCCTGTCGCTTTGTACTGTACGTACCCCAGCAACCGCCGCCCCCCCCAAAAGTCAATCAACTGGCATGTAAACAATAGCAAACAAAGCAGGAGGGAGAGCCCTGGAGAGACCCGGACCTGGACCTGGAGCGCCAGCCAAAGAATGTAGCACATTCTTCGCCTCCGCCTCCACGACCGCCTCCATTGCATCTTTGAGACATTGCGCACAATGGCCCTCGACGACAGACTTATGCCCTCGTCGCCCTCGCCCGCCCCCGAGGCGAGAGTCACGATGGCCTCATCCGCCTCGACTCCGTCTCTGCGGTCGCGCGATGCCACAGCCATGCCCGTCATGACCAGGATGGACCGCGGCGGCAACGTCAAGGTTGTCGTACGAGTGCGCGCCTTTCTGGAAAGGGGTGCGTGCATCTGATGATGAAGACAAGAGGACGCCAAAGGAGGAAGAGACGACGACAAGGCTGCTGACATGTGACTCGCAGAACTCCGACGCGGCGCCAGATGCCTCGTCGACATGGACCCCGTCTCCAACGTCACCACCCTCAGAGCCCCCGACGACCAGGACGCCTCCTCCGCCTCGGCCTCGAGCCCCTCCAAGGCCCGCAGGGTCGGCGACAAGAGCTTCACCTTTGACAGCTCCTTCTGGAGCCACGACCCCGAAGACAAGGACTACGCCACCCAGGAGGACATCTACAACAGCCTCGGCGAGGAGTTTCTCGACCACAACTTTGAGGGCTACCACACCTGCATCTTCGCCTACGGCCAGACGGGCTCCGGCAAGAGCTACACCATGATGGGCACGCCCGAAAACCCCGGCCTGATCCCCCGAACCTGCGAGGACCTCTTTGAGCGCATCGAGGCCGCGCACAACGAGGACTCGAGCGTCGCTTACAACGTCCGGGTCTCGTATTTCGAGGTCTACAACGAGCACGTCCGAGACCTGCTGGTGCCCGTCGTCCCCAACACGCCGCCCAACTACCTCAAGATCCGCGAGTCGCCCACCGAGGGCCCCTACGTCAAGGATCTCACCGAGGTGCCCGTGCGCAACATCCACGAGATCCTGCGGTACATGAAGATCGGAGACGCTTCTCGCACCGTCGCGAGCACCAAGATGAACGACACTAGTAGCCGGAGCCACGCCGTCTTCACCATCATGCTCAAGCAGATCCACCACGACATGGAGACGGACGAGACGACGGAGCGCAGCTCCCGCATCCGCCTCGTCGACCTGGCCGGCAGCGAGAGGGCAAAGTCGACCGAGGCCACGGGCGTGCGCCTCCGCGAGGGTAGCAACATCAACAAGTCGCTCGCCACCCTCGGCCGCGTCATTGCCGCCCTGGCCAGTCCCAAGCAGCTGCGGTCGGGCAAGAGAAAGGACGTGGTGCCCTACCGGGACTCGATCCTCACCTGGCTGCTCAAGGACTCGCTCGGCGGCAACAGCAAGACGGCCATGATTGCCTGCATCGCGCCCTCGGACTACGACGAGACGCTGTCGACGCTTCGCTACGCCGACCAAGCCAAGCGCATCCGCACCCGCGCAAAGGTCAACCAGGACCACATATCGTCGGCAGAGCGCGACGCCCAGATCGCCGCCATGGCGCAGGAGATTCGCATGCTGCAGGTCTCCGTTTCCGACTCCCGCCAGCGCGAAAAGAATGCTCAGGAGGCAGAAGAGCGGCTGGAAGAGTACCAGATCCGGGTCAGCACCATGCAGCGCATGATGGAGGAGCGCAGCATGGTGGCCGAGAGCAAGATCAAGAAGCTGCAGACGGAGAATGAAGCTCTCAAGCTGCACTTGAAGCTGGCCATTGACAGTCTCAAGAATCCGATCCCACCGGTGCAGCTCAAGGGCGAGGCGTCGGACGAGGAAGACGAAGACGACGACGACGACGAGTACGACTACGACTCGGAGAGCACTGCTGCGGACGACGAGCTGCAGCACGAGATGGAGCGCTACCTGCAAGACATGGGCAACCTGCGCAAGCTCATTGGCGGCGACCTCTCGCGCTTCAAGGACACGGACAGCGTGCGGATGCCCCTTGGGTCGACGAATATTTAATGACGAGTTATAATGACGAGGACGATGGAATTCCCACGCGGCGCTGCTGGTGAGCACGGTGCTTCACAGAACGCTGTCTTTTTTTGTTTTTGTATGCGTGGGTCATGGACGGATGGCTGGATACCTTGATGGATTTATATTGTTTGTCGTTTCTGAGCCTACCTTACCTACTAGTTGTCTACAGTTTCTCTTTAATCTCATTTTCCCGGGCTTCAGGCTTTTCTCATTTTAATTTCTCTCTTACTCAGTCACATGCTTGAGAGAAGACGTACTGCAGTCTCAGTCACATGCATAAGAGAAGAAGAACGTTGACGGTTCTTTAGCAAAGTGCAACTTTAGGGGCGTACGATTCCCAGCTACCTTGACTCTCGCCACTCATGCTTTCCTCTTCCTCCTCTTTCTTGCGCCCTGGGATTGCTTACCGCGCGATTGACCAGAGGGGTTCCTCTTGGCGCCATTGCTTTCAGGTGTCGGCTTCGGCAAAGTCTCACTGACCCGACACGTCTCGGAATGTTGATTCTGCGGCCTCGGTGCTCTTCTCCCTCTCCGTCTTTGTTTGCCAGAGTGAGCAGCAGCAGCAGCAGCATTACCAGCAAAGGGAGAACCAGCATCGTCAATATCCATAAACTCTATATGCGAGTCGCCCTCACCGGGGTACACGATGGGCGGCGCATCCATCATGACGATGTCGAACCCCTTGCTCAGGTAGCACGAAAAGCCCAGGCTCGTCTTTGGACTAAACGTCGAGAACTGTGTAGTCAGCAGCTCGCGCGGGTCCAGGGCGGCGATGCGCCGGACGACCTCGGGCATGTAGTAGATGATGGGCGAGGCCCTGAGGTCCTGGGCTACGATGCGGTCGTGGAAGGGCCTACCTTTGCCGCCGACGGAGAGGGTGTAGGCGTCGAGGACGGCGGAGAAGAAGTGCTGCGCTGTGAGGAGGGGCCTGATGTGCGTGTGCGTGTGCGTGTGCGTGTGCGTGTGAGGGTGGGCGTGGGCGTGATGTTCCGGGGAGGTTGAGGAGAGGAGGAGCGTTGCGGTCGTTCGCTGGGCGAGGGAGGGTGCTTGGTGGGAGGGGAAGAATATGGGCTTTGTGCGTTGGATGTCGAAGGTGTAGAGGCGGGCGAAGGAGCGGATGGAGAGGTCAAAGAGGTGCGGGTGCGTCCAGAGGACGTCGTCGAGGCTCGTCGGGTCGAGGGACAGGGGAGGAGGGAGATGGTAGTGGCACCAGGCTTCGGCGGCGGAGGCGAGGAAGTCGATTTCGGGGCGGGAGTCGCCGTGGTTGAGGTAGGCGAGGATGATGTCGAGGGCGTGGAAAAGGGGGTTTGGGGCGTGGGAGTCCATGGCGGTCGGGCTGGCTTACATGACTACTTGGTGACGGCGACGATTGTGCTGCTGGGTTACATACAATGGTCATGAGTTATTTGAGGCATTGTTATTTATACTACGGCTTCTGGGTGGGATTGAGACTTGGATCTGAACAACTCTTGAATGATATTGAACAGGTTGAGTAGATGAGGTTCATCCTGCCCCAACCACTGAACATAGAGCGAGACACCATCTAGCAGTCAGCAGATAGATGATCGAAGCTGGCGAGTCCATCCATCACCACCTTGGGTAGTCATGATAGCAAGCTCAGAAACGAAGACTGCGAAACAGAGACAGGAAAGAACATCCATATGCATGAAGACGAAACAAGCACCGCAGTCTGAACTGAAACGGAACATCACAAGAAACGCGCCGGTAACGAAAAACGGTCAAACGGAGCCATCCAGTGCCGGGATTCGACATGAAACAAAGGGAAACGACACATGATGGATCTCGGGTAGCCGGAGACCGAATCCTTCTTGCACCAAACAAGAGGAGAGAAGTCCTTGCCCCTTTTTTTTTTTTTTTTTTTTTTTTTTTAGTTGCAACTCTATTCTATGACACTTTGCCCATTGCTTTGCAGGGTAATTCCCCAGGGTGATTGCCTGTAGTTGTATGTAGGTATGTATGTAAGTATGTGATGTACTGTTCCCCTCAGAGAAAAAGACATCAAATGCCCTTGCACAACCGCTGCTTCAGGTGAAACAGCAGCCGTCTTCACCCCTCACCAGCGCCATGGGAAGCACACAGTCCAGGGGTAAAATCTCAAGGTAGGTAGAGATTGCGCCTCCAGCTCCCAATCAGGCAAACGTGTCAGTTGGCGCAACGGTTTCAACAGCCGCTGTGGAGTTGGAAATCAGTAGACACAGAGCCAGTAAAACAGTAAGGAAACAATTAACGAGAGAAGCCCAGCATCAACCGGAACAAATTACGAGTGGTATATTCTCACGCACAGCCACTGCAGCCTCTGCCGGGTTCTGCTGTTCCAGGCGCTGCAGCCCCTCCAATCAAGGCGCCGAAACCCCGCCATTGCAGAAACGGGGGGGCCAAGGGTCCAACACTCAAGGTCTGGTACTATCACCAGACGAGTGACAACTGACAACTTACACCCTCAACTCGGACTCTTTGCTTCTCGCCTCTCTCTCTCCATTGCCATCTCTCCTCCCGTTCTTCCCCCCCTTGACCATATTACCAGGTTTCAATTGATGGTATAATTGACAGATTCCTTAGCTGGCCATCCGTCTCTCCATCATTCTCGACTCGCCTTCATCCGCCCGCCATCCTCCTTCCACTCCTTGCTCTTCTTCCTCACCTCTCCCTCCTCTTCCAGCCTCACAAGTCCGCAACCATGGCCACAAGACCGCAGCTCTTCACCCGCGGCCTCTCCGGCCTCTCGCAGAGCTCCAGCGCCGGCGACATCAGCTCGCCCGCCGAGCAGCGCGACGACGCCAAGCGCAACCTCTTCAAGACGATGCGCCCTCTTCCCACGCAGCACTACTGGGACGTCTACTTTGACCGGTCAGTCCCTCTACCTCTCTCAACGGCGGCCCTTCCAAAAATAACTGACAGTTCTCACACTCCTTTTTCCACCGACAGCCCCAAAGAGCAGAAACCCGAAAGCGGCGGCGGCGGCGGCACCGGCCAGGAATACACGGCCCAGCTCGAAAAGATTGGCGCCCCGATCGAGTCCGTCCAGGACTTCTGGCGCTACAACAACAACACCCCCGTCGAGAACATCAAGATGCGCGAGTCCCTCTACCTCTTCAAGTCCGGCTTCCGCCCCGTCTGGGAGGACCGCCGCAACATCAACGGCGGCAGCTGGACCTTTCGCGTCCCCAAGGCCATCGGCCCGGACTTTTGGACGCGCATCCAGCTGCTGGCCATTGGCGAGAAGCTGCAGAGCGTCATTGACGAGGGTGAGCCCCCTTGTTTTTTTTTTTTCCTGATTTTGATACACTCCTTTCGCGCCTATGATACATACACACACACACACACACACACACACACACAACATATATATATATATATATATATATCTCGAACCGTACAGCTAACAAAAAGAATCTTGTCTTTCCAAACAGCCGATCAAATCTGCGGCGTCGGCCTCTCGGTCCGCTTCAACTCGCACCTCATCACCGTCTGGCACCGCGACTCGTCCAAGCAAAACTCCATCGACGCAATCATCAAGTGCATCCTCGAGGAGCTGCCCCCCGAGCTGCAGCCCAAGCAGGACAATTACTTTTACAAGAAGCACAGCGACCACGCCGGCTTCAAGGCGCCTCCCGAGCTGCAGGCCGTGCTCGACTCCCAGAAGCGCAATGCCGCTGCCGCTGCCGCTGCTGCTGCTGCGCCTGATGCGCCGGCAGTGACTGTCGAGCCTCCTGCTGCTCAGTGATTGGCGTCTTCTTTGTTCACATGCGTTTTTCTTGTTCGTTGAGCGAGCTACGCCAGTTTGTCCTATAAATTTTCCTCTTTTACTACCTTCTCGTTCTTCTATATTGGCCCTGTTTGGAAAAGAGACAGACAGGGGCTCCAACTTGAGTTACAGGCTCGATTCTTGGCCGCGGTTTAGTGTTTGGCGTTTTGATTGGGTGTTATATATACGCAGAAAAGAGCCGTGTTGGACATTTTCAGCTTGTGTTTGGCCATGTTCATCCCGCAAACCTAGAAAGCGCTGTATGCTGCCATTAAGAGTCGTGTCCCGTCAGCATCGCCGACGCTCAAAAATATCTTCTTTTTGAATATATATCCCTTGTATTATATACCCACATATATACATCGTACGTGACTGCTTGCTGGATCGTCAACAGCCCTCTGTTGATTGCAACCTTGGGGATCATGTCTCCCTCCTTCACCGATCCTCGTTATACGTAGACTCGCATCTCTGCTTTCTCCCAATATTAACATGTAGCGTTCCTCCCAAGACGATATATCCCATATGCGTACTTTGTACAAGTATCAAAAACGACTTGCAACTCCCAGCGCCTCGCAGAAGTGCCCAAAAACAACCAAACCCGCTATCAGCCAAAAGAAACAATAAAAACAGGTTTCCCTTCCTCCTTGCTCCTCCACCTCCTCACCATCGTGTTCCCATCATCATCACCGCCAAACTCCAGCGCTCCTCATCACCCCGTCAAACTCCTCCATCCCCACCCCGCGCGCAACGCCCGCGCCCCCATTCGCCTCGAGAATCATATCCTTGAGCAGCTCCTCATCCACGTCCTCCTTGAGCACCGCCGCCACGCGCCGCAGGTGCGCCAGCGTAATGGGGCCCTCGGCGCCGTTGGTAAACAGCTGGAACGCCTCGGCGAGCTCGCGCCGGTGCGCCTCGGAGTCGCGGTCGTCGTAGCCGTCGCGGTCGCGCGCGTGGAATTTCAGCGCGCAGATGGCGAAGAAGGGCTCAAAGGTCGCGAAGCCGTCGGATTCGGGGTCGAGGATGGAGATGAATTCCTGCAGCTCCGCGGGGGAAGACGGCGGGATGCCGAGGGCTCTGTGCGATGGGCGTTTTCTCTTTGATTAGTTCTCTATTATCTCCCTTTCCCCCCCTTTTCATCCCCCCCCCCCCCCTCCCTCCCTGTTTTTTTTTTCTTTTTCTTTTTCTCTGTTGGAAGGTTCTTGGACGAAAAAAGGTGATGCGTACATGAGCGCGGACTTCAAGTCGTTGATGGGCAGCACGCCAAGCTTCTCCCCATCCATGGGCTCCGCAAACAGACTAAAGGCCTCCTTGATCTCGGCCTCCTCCTGCGCAGAGACGTTGTGCTCCTTGGCGAGCTTGGACTGTCGAGGTTTCGGCGCGGTCGAGGGACCGCCTGATTTGCGCTTTGGAGGCTGTGGGAATAATGCCATCGCATTAGCACATGTGTCTATTTGTCGCCTTTTTTTTTTCGTTGTCGATCTTTGAGATGTTTGGGCATGTTGAATGAAGGTTTGGTGTCGTTCGCTTTTCTTTTTTTTTGGTCAGGACGTACCATGTGAACTCGCGCAGATCGCAAGTCTGTCGCAAAATATCAAGAGACGCGAAAGATGGGGGGGCGGCCGATGCGCAATAGACAAGCCGTGTAAGTCAAAGTATTGGGTAAATCGTTGCTTGGGCTTGCGCGATGTGTATGCGCAGTGTAGAGGTGAAGATGCACGTTGATGTCACTGCGAAATCTTGGTGATGCGAAACACCGGGTACAAGAACAAGGCGCGCGAGGCTGAACGGCGCACGGAAAGGGCGTACAGTGTTGAGTGTAGAAGTCACCAGAGTTGACACAGTGTATATCCACCTTTCTCTTCTACCTAGCTGCACCATTTAAAATCGCGAAAAATTCTGCCTCGTGAAACCTCGTCTCGTCTTTCCACAACTCAAGGAATGTGAATTCCGCTCAAAAACCGCAACACAGGCTTTGGACCACGAAATGTGATCCAGCTGCGATACTTAGCATGCTGCAGAGCTCCAGTATACCACTCTCAGTTACAATGAGAACGCCACGGCTCAATGTTTCCCATGGCAAACGTCCTATGGATTTGCTTTTCACAAGCTTTTCTTTACGACAAGGACCAGTTGCCCCAGGTTTGTTACAAGCAGCTTCTCTCAAGTGAAGATGCACCTATTTCGCGGGATCGATTCTCGTCACTTCTTTTCTTCTTCTTTCCGTGCATGTTACACACCAGCTTCAAAAATTGCTAGAGCTTGCCGCCTCAGATGCCCAACAGCGCGCAAGTGTGGACAGTGAAGCGAGAGCAAACCCCGGGAAAGCAAATCGCGTCAAATCTTCTAAACCGACGCGACTTCTTTTCTTCCAGTGGCTAGCGAGCGGCATCACCGGCTCTTGTGCCGTGGTGCCAAGTGATCCATGGAGACATATAGACCTCTAGTATCAAACTGTTTTTTTCATGCGAATTGACTGTAGATAACTGTTGTAACGGATACTATTGTGCTTGTCATGTTTGGCTTTTTCGAAGCGATTTGTATAACAAGATCTGCCCCCGGCCCCCTTCGAAACATCAAATCTTTGCCTCCACAGGCCTGATGACAGCCGTTAGTCCGCCGTTCTTGTCATACTCGTTCAGTCTCTCTCCCCTCACTTAAAGTTGTTCTTCATCTCCCGCAGCTTGGACATGACGGAAACCGGATCCGTCTCGCCCGTCGCCTTTTGAATCTCGGGGTCCTGAACACACACGCCGGTCAGCTCAACTTTTCTAGAGCACATTGTAGCATAAGGTAGAGTAATCCTCACCTGAACTCTCATAAACACATTGTGCCTCTGTCGGGTGGAAGACAAGATCAGCATAATCCATCCTTGGCCGTTCAGACCAGGCGAAAGTCACGTACCTTTTCGTCACCAATGGTGAACTTGCCCGTCGTCACTTCGTTGTTGTCTGCGAACTCCTGAAGTCGCTTGATCGGGTCCGTCTGGGACACGGAGAGGGTGAACTTGACGTTGGACTTGGTGTATTCGTGTCCGGGCTATTGATCAGTGTCAGTCAATCTCGTCCATCGAATAGCTATCAGTTCTGCAGCGTCAAGACTCACATAGACAACCGTGTCATCTGGCAGCGCTCCAAGCCTGTTATTCAACGCCTCATGCATCTCCGCCCCATTACCCTCAAAGAACTTGCCGCATCCTATATCCGTTTCTCAGTCAGACACACACGTACTCCGCATCTCAACAAAGAAAGAAAAAGAGACAGCTCTTTAGTCTCCAGGGCAGTCATACCGCTGATGAAAAGAGTGTCGCCGGTGAAGACGGCCCGGCCAGTCGAGTCCTCCATGTAATAGCAGATGCTGTCCTGCGTGTGGCACGGCGTGTGCACGGCCGTGACTGAAATGTCGCCAATCTTGAACGTTTCCCCGTGCTTTGGCGTCTTGGTGACGCCTTCACAGTCCTTACCACCAATGATGGCCAGGTCGGTACCCAGCTCGGATAGCTTATAGCGAGGACAGTTAGAAACCTTTCTTCAGAGAAGGAGGGAGCATCGTTATCAGAATTCGACGGCATGAGAGATTATATACCAGTTTCTTGTTGCCGCCGGCATGGTCCCAGTGGCTACATCATCCATCTGCGTCAGCTGTCCATCCGGATGCATGTCGAGTTCTGTTGGGACAATCGCATACTGGTGAGTGTTGACAATGGCCGTCAGGTTGATCTTGCCCGCCGAAAGAGCATTCTTGAGAATAGGCGCAACCCTATCCTCCCAGTCAGTCACGTCGTCTCCCTCCAACTCAAAGCAGAACCTCAACTGAAGGGTCGTACTCTGGCGGGTTTGCCGGGTCAATAATGACGGCATCCTTGGACTTGTCGTCAACCACAAGATAGGCGTAGTTGTTGGAGCTCCCAACCCCTACTCAGGCATTAGTCCAGCTTGGCTCCCTCCATCTCTCTCTCTTTCCGTCATCGTTAGGCCCTATGATAACCCAAGATTTCGAGACTCACACATGGGAATCGATTGGATATGCATCTTGCGTGAGTTATTTGTAATCTACGTCGGTTTAATCAGCAATGAGGGGTCACAGCTCGATACACTGAAGGTTGGATGATCTCACTCACGGAACCGGCAAATCTCTGCGAGAGAAACTGTCTGCCAGACAGTCTCAGTCTATTCATAGATGTATGGAGCTTGTAGCCTGTGGTCGCCTTTAAAAGAGACTGTCACAAGAAGGTTCGGGATAATCTGTGAGAGGTTGAACAGTCTGATGCTACCGGATTTTACCTCGTTGTTGTAAGCCGTAAATACCGAGAGGAGTTCGTTGATCGAAATCATTAATAGCCGCCACGTGATTGGCTGCTCTGCGCTGCTCAGCTCCACGAACTCAAGAGGGTGACGAGACGCTGATGGCATGCATTCCATGATTATCAAATGCCTATGATATGCAACATTTTGGCCTTCACGGCGATGAGAAGAAGAAAGCAAAGGAAAACAGTCTATTGGGTATCATTGAGCTCCAGCGTGTCCAACTCAGCACCGCTTCGTCGAAAATCACGACAAAGCCACGATCCTCACACAACGCCGATAGGCTTCGGCTTCCAGACGCCGCTATACCGGGACCATCCCGTCGTCGGCTCCGGGCTCCGGTCCGCATCCTGTTCCTGTTCCAGCCCTTGTTCCTGACCCTCGTCCTCCGACGCTTGCCTGTTCTCCGGCTCCAGGCCACTCGCCTCGTTGGCCATAGCCGCCATGTCCTTGGACAGCTTCAAGCACTTGAGATATACTTGGTTCCCCGGGAGCGTCTTCTGTAGCTCTGCAATCGTCGTCTGCAAATGACCCAGATCCCACTGACGCAGCTGCCCCATGATTCTCTGTCTCGCCGCTTCGTCGTCCTCTCGTAAGTAGGACAAGACAAGCTCCTTGCACGGATCCTTGGCCTTCTCCGCCTCTCCTAGGTGCTTCCAGTAGTAGTCCCAAATCCAGTCGAGCGCTTTCCTTGCGGCTGACCGCAGCTTGGCCAGCGAAGGCAGCTGCTCATGCGTCGCCTGGTGCCTAAGCTCTACAAAGGTTGCCGGCAAGCCAATGTTCTTGGCGATGGAGTACATGCTCTGCTTGCGCAGTTTGTCCTGATGCCCATCCAACAGGCCGGTGACAAAGCTGACGGCATATCAGTTAGCGTCCCTATTCACCAAGGCAGGAGGACGGCAGACAAAGCCAAAGACACCCTCCCTGCGTTGCCTTGGATAGAGCCTCCAAGTCTCCTATTCATGACGTCTCTTTGGCCGCATGTCCCGCGCGCAAGATGGAGCCCCCTCCTGGCTGCTTCGTCTTGACCACTTGGCTCCCTTATCCAGCATTCGCCCCCCCTCCTCCCCCTTCCCCATGAATCCAGGCCTCCAACCCCAAGCAAGCCACAGCGGAGGGCGACAAGTAAAAGAGTGACAACGAGTCCAGAACAACTTACCGACTAAACGCGGCTGCATATGCAGCCCTCACAGCATACGTCGATGCTCCTGCATTGCCCGCGGCCGCGGCCTCGTCGCTCAGGACGGCAGCCATGAGCAGGGCCGTCGACTCCACCATGTGCGGACAGTTGCCGCGCTGCATCCACATGGACACTCGCCCCACGGCCTTGTGCTTCTCTCCGTCCGCCTGCTCTCGTGATGCCTGGCGATTCGTACTTGCAGCCGCAGCCGCAGCAGTAGTGCCCCGTCGTGCGTCCCCCTGATTCAAGCCCTGCCCCTCCTCTTCGCGGCCACAGTTTCCCTGCTGCTGCTGCTGATGCTGATACTGCTGCTCGTCTGCATCCGCATCTCTGCCACCCTCGAATGCCCGACTCTGGACCTGCTGAATTCTCGGCTGCTGCTGCTGCTGCTGTTGTTGTCGCTGGTGGTGGCTGTAAGCTGCACCGCCCTGGATGCGACCCGATGCACCAACCGGCTGCGTCAACGCCCCGGAACCGTAGAACTGCTCCCGCACAAGGAGCAGCTCCTGGCGGTCCCTCCAGGGCGTAAACACATACTGCACCATCGAGGGCGGCAGGGATGTGAAGAAAGAGAGGGTAAAGGAATATGAGGGAGAAGAAGAAGATGGTGTGACAATGTTCACAAGGCAGAGAGAGACTTGCTGCTTGGTGGAAGCGAAAATGCAAGCACACAAAGTTGCCGCGAAAGCGGTAAACTGATTCTGGCTTAGCGCAATGATGGGGCTGCGATTAGATACCTTACTTGGAGAGTTGTGATGCGCTTTGCTGAAAGCGGCAGTAAATCGGGACAATGTACTACTCGTACAAACATGTACTGTAAGACGACAAAACCAAAGCTCAAAAAAGCTGCAATATCGATGCAGAGCCCATTCCACTACACTAATACTTCATCTCCCACCCGTACCAAATATTACAAGTACTACAAGGACATGTACTACCTGACTTACATACGGCCGTCACATCAGCAAGGATGAAGCGCCGCACATGTGGTGCAACGCTGGCTGTGACTTGACTCTTCCCCATTCCGCGCCCTACGGCATGCACGGCAAGTTGGGACGACATGCTGAACATGGAGAGTGCCTTTCCATGCTCTATGCTCGCTCATGCGACTCTTACTCCCTTCATAGTACGTAGTACTACTTGTATGCCGCGTGAAAATCCTTCAGGCGATACCTAGCAGGTGAGCCTGACAGGATCACTTCAGGCATCTGTATCAATATAGGACGAAATGCAATACCATGAACATGACCAGCTGCTTCTCAGGTGCAGCAGCACAAAAGCCCACCTTCTCCTCGTCAACGCCAGACCAATCAGCTGCCGATACGGCATCTATCCGTCCCTTCGCACGAAGGATTTCCTCTTCAGCTGCCTCACACAGAGACAAACACTTCCAAACACAGCGGCTTACCAGGTACACTGCAGTAATACTTGACAGGCACCATGACAATTGTTTCCGCCCATCGCCAAGTCGTACGTGGAATCTGCCCTGGTATTACAAGCAATTTTGCTAGCCCAGGCAGGTCAAGGCAGTAAGTAGGCTACCCTCCCTCAAAGGGGGGGGAGGAGGGACAGTCAATCACATCACTCAACCATCATCCTTTTTGCTTTCTCACCCTCTTTGCTTCTGGCTACGACCAATGGCAGCCCCGACAGCCCGTCTTGCATATCACATTTGACACAACCTCCCAATATCGAAAGACAGGCCCCCCCCAAAAAAAAACAAGATAAGTAAGGTAATGGTGCCTTGATAAGGAGGGGAAAACGGGCAAAACGCAGCGCCAAAGTAGCGTCTCCGAGACACATGGAAAGCCATCAGCAGAGCACACCAGTCATCTTCTGCAAGCACAGGCACAGGCACAGGCACAGGCACGTTGAAGCATGCACTGTTGCGGAGCCCATTGGCATGATACCCAAAAATGCAGAGGGGGGGTTTTTTTTTCCTTTTATTTTCTTTTCTCCCGTCTTACTCGTACTCTCGCTTTTCCGATATCCGGATACGTGTAGTAGGTCCTCCAAGCCTTCAAGGCCCTTGTTTTGTTAGCACCTCTCCGTGTTGATACAGGGTCATGCTGCAAGAGCCAGGAGAAAAAGGCATTCAACGCAACTAGCATCTACAAAGGAAAAGTACATGGCGACTTTGAGGTCTGACAACTGGGACTACTACACATGATCAGAATGGATGAGCAGAATGGAGACGAGTAATAGGGAGGTGATACGGAGCAAATACCGTTTCCAGACGACAAAGTAATGGTAGTACGACATACAAATCACGCCCACTGAGGAACAACGACCCTGAAAGAAAGAAAAACTCCGCATCACGGACCGCCAAAAAAAAAGAGAACACAACATACTGTACTGTACGGAGCAAGCACCCCTTCGCTACGTGTCATGCACAATCCCGGGCTTGCACTCAACAAGTCCGGGGTCTCCATGAAGGAATGATTCAATAGGTACTGCGCCCCGTCATGCCCGGCAATTCTCAGCTGCTCCATCACCAGCCCATATAATGTACATACTTGACTTAATACTCGTATAAGTGCAAGCCGGGTTCACTGGCTGAAAGACAGTCAGTAGGTATGTAGGTTGTACCAACACCAAAACTTGACGCAAATTCGGCATCCTCGGACTTTGGGCCGAGTCCTTCCTTTTTCTCTCTCTCTTTCCTTAGGTTGTATTACATGTACACGGGCTATCGACATGCAATTGTGCCTAGCACTCGTACGAGAGCAGCGCCCTCCGTGGGCTTGTTATATAGGTGGCATCCTTCATGGCGACCTCAATCTCAAACCGCGTTCGGTCCGGCAGAACAAGCATCTGATATAGCGAACCCCCACCCGAGACGGCAAACAGAACGGGACCTGTAAAGAAATATATCTCATAGGTACCTCGGCGAACGAGAAATAGTGATAAAAAAGAGACATGAAAACCCCCCTGTCGGCCAGCGGATGGATGCCATCAGGGGTGCTTGATGGAACGCAAACCAGCCAGGCATCATGTCACGACCGCTTTCAACCTCGTTTCGTACCTCGCCGTCAATCGACCCCAGGACCAGCCCAAACTCGAAACGAACGGCCGCAGACAAGCTCAAGAAAGTGAAAGAAAGGCATGGTAGCCAAAACGTACTAGTACCCGGTATTGGAAAAGGCGAGAAACCCTGCACAGCCGAAATGCTTTACCGCCCAAGCCGCCCCCTCTCTCCCTCTCTCTCAAAAGAAGCCCACTCCTCAACAAGCCCATAAAACTTACACACAGAAGGGGCTGGCTGCCTTAGTCCCAACCGTAATGAAATCCCACCTCACGCCTCGGCGAAACGGGGACATCAGAGCCAGAGGATGTGTCCTGCACCTCTCACACAATGTTTGAAGGGGGACGTGGAGGCTGAAGCTTGTTAGCTCAATGGACGAAAGCGACGCCCCTATCATTGTTGACCATCCAAGAAGGATCATCATATGCTCAGCAAGAGTACCTAGGGGCAGAGTACTTCTCTCGGAGGAAGCCCAAGGTTCAGCCATCGTGGCTCAGCAAACGTCCAATTACGCTTTGTTGTCTTTCATCCGGTAATCAATCAGAGGGAGCCAAACAATACCTTGAGTATCAGCTCGAGAGACAGTCGCCTGTACTCGTACTGCAAGAAAGGTGCATCAAACGATGTTCTCCAAATGCTCAATCCGAGACCGTAGGGCAGAGTATTGGAGCACTGTATACGTTTGCATCACCGTAAGGCGGGAGACACAAATCGCGAATCCAACAAGACTAGCAAGCCAAGCAAGCACCAGCACGGAGCACGAACGGCTCAAGTCAAGCTCACCCAACTAGTATTCAGAAACCCAAAGCCGCACCGAATGGATCCTAAAGCAAGAAGCGCCAACGGTAGAAAAAAAGCGAGTAGAGAAGAAAAGGGGAGGGGGGGAGAAAAGGGAAGAAGGGGTGTGTATGAATGAAATCTAGGCTCGGATGAAAGGGGAGGCGTGCATCCTCTTTTCAAAAAAGGGGGGGTGTACAGCAGAACTAGTACCACTCAAGAGACAAGAAAATAAAAGAGGGGGTAAAAAAAAGGAAAGGGAAAAAAAGAAAAGAAAAAAAAAAAAAAAAAAGCAGCGCAAGCATCAAGAAGAAGAACCTGCACCACGAAAGTGGGGTATGGAGAGCGAAAATGGAGGAGAAAAAAGAGGAAAAGAAAGAAAAAGACAAGAAGCCGCAGAAGGCACACAAGCGGATCCGCAACGCACACGCACACTAAAAAGTAAGAAGGGGCCCATGCTCTTGGACATGGGATGCACTTGCGCCAAGGGAAGACGAGGGGGGAGAAAAGGGCAAAAAAAAAAAGAAGACGAAAAAGTGGTGTTGGTGATTATTTGACCAGTCAAAAGCCGCTCCCCCTGCCCACCAGAAACCCTTCCAGAATGCACTGCGCTGCAACTGCAACTGCATGACGACCGGGGGGAAGGACCCAAGCACCGGACCCCACCTCCCACTTCACACATGTCCGACAGGGGTGGTTCCGTTCTAGCGGCTCCTTCCCTGCGGTGCCTTTTTTTCCACTGCTCTTTCCTTCGACCTAGGTAGGTACATACCTAGCTTAGTACTACTAGGTACTGAGGTGTCCGACTTGTCAGTCTCGCGTAGTATTACCTGCACTGAGGCTTCAACATGTTCGGCTTGATGCCTTGAAACTGTATGTATGTACTTGTTGGCCGCCTCATTCGATACCCATATGTGGACAGTAAGGTAAGCGGGGCTGACTGTGAGAATACCTCTAAAGCAAAAGGACAAGTGACGATACGGTACCCGGGCACGTAGGTAAGGACTCAAGACTTTGGGTGCTGCTTTGAGGGTGGGGATTTAAAAGCCGTGCTTTTGAACTCGTACTTGGAGCCTCGTAGGTAGGTACCTTAGGTAGTACCTTACCTGCCGCGGCACTCAGTCCCAAGCTAGGTACTAGGTAGGTACTACCTAGTCCAGAAGGTTTAGTGCGGTTGATAGTATGGACTGCCACTTCCATGTCCCAGCACCATTCTCTGGGCAGGTACTGCCCGTACACGAGTACCTATGTATGTACTGTGTCCCGCCCTACGACTTGAGTCGTGCCCGCCCTGTCCCAACCTGAAGTCATCAGTCCGCCTTTACAAGTTATACGTCACACCCGCCAACTTCCAGATTCCCAAAGCGCTGCAGCATTCTGGACAAGAACCCCCCCCCTGATTCATACTTGTACTTCACCACCCGCGGTCACAACAAAGTCACCTTGCACCAATACAGGAAATCTCTCAGGCTCATGCATCCAGAATTATGTCGTCTCTAGCATTATTAGCAGCGGTCGATAGCATATGCTGGCGTGAGCCATCTCAGAGCTACCAAGGCTATTGACCCTGCTGTTCTACTGCGCTTTGGCTGTCTATCCTATCTATATTCATTCCAGTAATACCGCCTTGGTTTCCATAGCCCATGCGTACCCAAGCTTTGTCCAGGGGTATCTTTTTTCCTTGATTCCACGTATGCCCGTCCATGCTTTGTCAAAGAACAGAAAGCAGAGGCAGACCCTTCATCTGCAAGCCCCCAGATACCCGTAACTCCGAAAACCCAAATTCATTGACGCCAGTGTTCCCATTGTTCATTTTCAGAAATTCCGTCCAAATTCCTCCAGTAGTCGTAACAGTTCATCATGTCGTGTCACATCTTGGCGACTTCTTTCTCATTCCACCTTACTCCCCGTCTTCGTCTTGGTTGTCTTCCTCCTCCTCGTCTTCCTCATTATCGGGGATGCTTGGGGGTGTCCATCCCTCGGCCAGCTTCAAATGCTGGCTGGTGCGCTCTCGTGGCAGCATAGGCATTCCCAGTTCCGAGAAACCATGAAATGTGTAGGAAGTTTCTTCGACGTATTTGCCGGGAGTGTCGTAGAGACCCAACCCGACCAGGACCTCTCCCTCTTCTTCCGGCTCGTCCACCACCTGGAACGCGGGTTCGGGAGCAGCTGGCTGCATTTGTTGCGTGGCGAAGCCACACGGTGTAGGCGGGTTGCTTTCAACAGAGGTGCTGCGCTGGCTCAGTGCCAAAGGCGACCAGTCCATCGATCCGTCCCTCATCATGGGCGATGGTGGAGAGAATTCTGGAGAAGCCGCGCCGTGAGAATAATGATGAGGAAATTGAGGAGAGCGTGGGGTGTAGCTGGGCAGGTAGCTCTGCTGAACAACCTGCTGCATGGCCATAGGTGACGGGTTCGCCGACAGAGTTCTCAAGTTGGGCGATGGCGGAGAGAATTCTGGTGATGGCTGTGCAGCTGGTGCCGAATATGTTGAAAACTGCGGGGAGTGCGGAGTGTAGTCAGGCTGATAGCTCTCCTGCTGCGAGGTGCAAGGAGGCTGGTAACTCTGTCGATAGGCTTGTTGATAGTTGTCCTGCTGACCATACTGCGTCGCCAAGGGTGGCCATTGAGTAGGTGCATTCTGTATATACTCGAAGTCAACCGGGGGTGATGGCAGAGTCGCCGATGGATGCCAGCCGGCAGGTCGCTGTTGCTGGGCTTTTGAGAGACCGGGCTGAAACTGGCGACCCAGTTGCTGGGATTGATGGTATTGCTCATACTGATGAGCAGGGCTTGTGTGCTCGACCGGTTGGGCCTGATAGACCTGCTCTGCGTAGTGACCCTGATCGACTTGCTGAGATTGGGTAGCCGTCTGATAGACTTGTCCAGTATAGCCAGTCGGATAGGTGTGCTGCTGGTATTGCAAGACCGGCATGTAATATCCCATGAAGCGTGTCTGATCCTGGGCCAGGCCTGGATTAACCGCCTCCGCGCGGTGTGTAGTCGAAGCTCGATCCGGAGCATTGTGAATATGGTTGTAGTAGTTGGCCCGCAGAGCCGGCTCAGCTCGCACGCAGGTTTCAGCGTGAAGCTGCCGCCTCAGCTGCTCCTGGCGAAGTGCCTCCATCGTCTGGACTAGACTGGCTCCGTTAGGCTTGGGATAGGTCGTGCGGTTGATGAAGAGGACTGTTTATGCTCGTGGATGCGTGCTGACGCTTGGGAATGGGTGAGGCGCCAGAGATGATTATTGTTCGAGGTGAAGAGCGTTCGAGATGGCCAGACGGATGAGTTTGGTCGATTGGCAAGAAGAAAAGGGCCAAGCAAGCTTATATTGGTCTGTAGAAGCTTTGGGGGAACCCGAAAATGAAACTATTAATATAAACTCAAAGTACGTAACTGGTAGCGCAGCACGCTCTTCGTTGAATGGAACTGGAAGTTAATGAGGGTGTGGACTTCCAGGGAGGGGGGTAGGGGGAGTGGACCGTTGGAGGGATCCGAGTGGCTTTAGCGACCGGCCTCATCAGGGATGGGTTGAAGGGTAAACCACGCCTACGTACTCCGTAGAACCTTGGGGAATGGCAGTTTATGGTCTCGGTACACAAGTCGCTCCTACAGCGATTCCTTGGTACACGCCCAGGCTAGTTCGAACCAGATCCAACCGACCATGGATCTCGAGGTGGGCCAACGAGCGAGCGTCTTGGTGTAATTAGCGCGGCGCTCCTCCTCCGGTCGTAGCAGTAGGCGATGTTTCTTTTTCGGTATGACGACGGCACAGACAAACGTGCGGGTGGCATGGGAGCTTCAGCCAATACCTTGCTAGCCGCTGCACAGGGAGGGCAGTGTGCTTCTCCTCGTCAGTAAGGATATTCGATCCGGGATTGTCTTTCCCTTGGTACATGTATCATGCACCCTCGACAATCCAAGACATGGTCGACCGGGATTGGATCAGAGCCTGCGAGCCGACACATGCCCTGTTCGTCCTTGGCCGGTACGTCATACGGGGCGAGGCAAGGGATGGTGGAAAGGCTGTCTCGTCGGCCGGGCCTCGAGCTCCAACTGGGAAAGTAGACGACAAGAATGATACCGTAAGTGAAAAGAGAAGAAGAAAGAGAAATGGGGCAGCGACCCCCTTCTCCATGATAGTCGTCGCCCTAAAGCAGCGGCCGTACCGGAGACAATAGTGCAAGAGCAGACAAAGAGGGATTAACCAGAGCGGCTCAGAAACTCAACCGTCAGACGCGGTACATGCAATCATGATTGCTGCAGGTATGCATGCTCGGGGGAACTTGCAGAAACAAGCTGTCTTGAGGGCATTTCAATCATTACTTGCACTACCCCGTCGAGTATCCACAAGAGTCAGGATGCGCCGGGCCTCTTGCGGCGGTACTCTGTGCTCACATACCAGCAAATCGAAATTGGATCTTCAGCAGGTCCAGCCTGAATCATGTCCAGATGCAATACCGGCGTAAAAGGTCGCCTTTAAAGACGACACAAGTGCTCGTCTCTCCCTAGAGCGCTCAGGAGGGAAACATGACATGGGGCGCCAGCCGGAAACTGAAAGGCAGGGCTGATATACTATTCAAGGTTAGCAGGCGCCAACAAGAATAGGCCTGAAGCAAGGATAGTCCGGCGCCTGGGTCGAAACAACAGCCAGCACTGAACGAAGTGCGAAGGCACTCGTAGGCATCCGGGCTCCGTGCTTCCTCTGTCCGTGCTGAGTGCCATAAGCCGGAGGCTCACGAGGAGAGTGCCAATGCCATGATGACCCTGCAGCCCCACGCTGAAGGAGACAAGCCCAAAGTGTGGTGGACGAGAACCGTCGACGAGAAAAGCGACCAAAAAAAGGAAGAAGGGGGAAAGGAGGCTAGGCCCCCCGGCAGGACGGGCAAGCCCCATCTTTCGGTCGCTTCATGGAAGGGATGGCGAAGGATCTGAATCCGACCCAAGGGGGTTGAAGTATGAACAGCCCGTCAGATTGGCCAACCAGCGTTGGCAAGAAGGGAAACCGGAGTGTCCGTCGTAGCTTGGGTCGAGCAATAGGTCAGTCAGCAGGGCGTGGGCACGGGAGGCACACTCCTCGTCCCCAGCTCACGGACCCCTTCAGATGCTGTCCCTTGGTCTTGGAATGCCTTCTGGCTCCACTAGCGACGTGGCGTGGTGGTGTGCCCAAATAGTGTTGGTGAGTCTTGCAGATGAGAACCGTCCACAAAGCTCACCCACCCAGACGGAGACGAAGATGCACATCACGGTCCAGACAGAGTGATTGACATCCCCACATAGCCGGAAAACTTCCCTGGCCTGATACAGACACCCCGTGAGCTCCCTGGTTTCGGCGCCAAAGTTGCGGGATGGGGCACGACTGAGAGGCACAATGGCGTCGGTCTATCCAGAAACACGAACGAGCGGGCTGCGAAGAGGGGTCAGATCTCATCGCTGGTTCATCGGTCGTTAACGACTGGCCAGCATTTGTGCCGACTTAATCATATCAGCGGTCCCTTCCGTCCAGCCGCTTACCAACTCAGTGCCCGTGCTCCATCTCTGCCTCAAATTCGAAGTGTAATAGGTTGAGACGATACCTGCGAGACAAGGGGATGACGCCAACCCACCACCTGTTGTGCTAGCTGGTCCGATGGACCTCTTGTCTCGTCGTGCCTGTTGCAGCAGCTGCTGCTGATGCCGATGATGCCTGTTAACGTCGATGCCGATGCCGTTGTGAATAATATCAGTAGTAGCCGCTGTCTGCAAGCCGTGGCGTACACGAGTTGATACAATCTACCAGGTAATACCTAGGTGTACTCCAGTCGACAATCCAGCGCAACCCCGTCCACTCTCTGCACTTGTCCAGGTGCTACAACGAGGCTGACGATTGATTGCATGTTGAATAGCGATGCTTTTTTTTTTCTTGCTTCTGCAGCATAATATCGCGTGAGCAGCAGGAACCGGCTCAGGGAGAAGTGCAATGTCCCACAGCGCCCCTCAAAGGGGGAAGACACAAGAAGGATGCATTTCATCGCTTCGTGCTCCGCAATCCAACATTTCATGTGACGGTGCCTCCCTCATCAATGATATAGGTACTAGTAGCAGTCACCATCGACTAGGTAGGCAAGTACCTACCTAGTAGTCTTAGGCCGGGGACAATTGTGTAGAAAGAGCAAGGCAACCTGGAGCCCCGCTCATTCGCTCTCGCGTATCAAACGGCTGCCGAACGCAAAATCTCGGAATTGGGGCAGTCGCATCAGAGACAGGAGCAAAGGAGGTCAGGTACCTTCGGACGTCAGGGATTAGAGGCACCTCAGCCTGTACTGCATAAGGTACTACTAGTAGTTCCGTACTGTGGAGAATCAATACGTAAGGTACCTACTGGCAAGCAAGGCAGGGTAACGTAAGGTAAGCTGCCGGTGCGGCTGCGTGGAGCTGCACTTTAGTTAGCAGTACCAGCACCAACAGAGCGCAGCGTCGTCGCCACCGTGCTTGGGCAAGCAAAGAGGGACGGCCGGAGATGTCTCGAAGTAGGTATCCACTATTACTACTACTTCAAATAGCACACTGTGCCTTCCCTAGACGGCGGAGAGCTCCGTGAGGCGCCGCGCTCGTACCCCTCAGTGTCGTCCAAGTCCCTCGGAGCGCGCGAGTTGGGCCATTTGCGCACCAGTGAGACATTACCGCTACCGGAGAGTCGTAGAGCACCCGGCGGAAGGTGCAAAGAGGTACCATATAGTGCCTTCCTCTGTATGCCTTACATACGTCGTAGGAATGGTGAGTCCACTACTGTGGCCGTCAACGAGCAAGAGCGAACAGCAGGCCAGGATGTCGGCGGAAGTGATGCCTCACCACAAGCACAGCAACCGTCACCCATGCCTGCTTTCCCCTGCGAGCAGTTTCCCTTCTGCCACGATGCGGTTGCATGCAAGTCCAAGCCCGACGTGCCTGTCGGGGTACCTGTGCCGTGGCCTGGCAAGCGCACTCGTAGACCAGCGGTGCTTGTCCGGAAATGGACGCTGATATTCATGCACCAGCTCGCCAGCGCGAGAAAGCCATGGTGGAGCGAGTGGCGGCCTTTGTGCGTCGAGGCGATGTACCGGCTGCGATGGGCGCGAGTGGGAAATTGAGGCCTTGCCGAGAGACAAAGAGCCCCTTGTTGAGGTCACCTGAAGATGGTTCGGATTTGGTCCGCCTGCCGCTCTGGGCTATCTGCACCCGTTGCCTCGTGTACATACACAGTTACCAGGTACCTACTAGTAGTAGTGCTTGACTACTAGGTAATATGGCTGCGGAGCAACTTCGCAGTGGACTCACGAGGCACTGTGGCGCCTGCAGAGTGCTGGGCTGCGAGTTTGCGAGAAAAAAAAACTGGAGGGATGGATCATGGAATGGTTTTGTCTTGCCGCCAAGCCAGGGCTCAGAGGTACGGAGCACGGTGTGCCCATCCCTCACAGCGGCGCTGATTCAAGTGCACTGTGCGCAAGTTTGCTCAGAAACCCAGCGCTTGCAGACGTGCGAAAACTCCTCCAGCTGAATACCTAATACGTCACCCTGTGAAACCCGAGGCCGCAATTCAAGTCAGTCCTAGCAACGCCCGCTACCGTAGTGCAGAAACCCGCCGTTGTATGGATGCCACATGCTCCGTAGCAATAAGCTGAGTGATGGTGAAACCCGGTCGGGCCAAGTTGGAAAATCAAGAAAAAGCACAAGCGGTGAAAGGCAAGCCGTAAATGTGATGCAGGATGCATGTACGGTACGAAGAACGGGTGCATCTTTAAGGCAGGCCGGGAAAGGGAGGCGGCCATATTAGCATTCCTCCATACTTAGGATGAATGATAATACTATTACAATAGATGTGGTAGAGATCTCCCGTCCGTCTTGTTGACGTCTTAACACCGACCAGCAGGATGCATCCTGCCGGCATGCCTTGATACCTAACCTGTCGCATTGACACTGAACTGGTACCAATCTCAGTCTTAGGTATGCAACAACATGGGCGGTTCTAGTCCTCTTGTCCTCGTATCTACCTACCTACCTAGTATTCAGTATGGTTGCCGCGCGTTGCCTCACGTTCACTGCGCCTCTACCTACCTATGCTTTCATCGCGCTATTGCGAGTATTCCAGTGGCTCCTAGGCTAGCAAAAAAAGAATAGAGCCGGTTCTCTTGCGAGGTTCTGCCCCACTGCCGATGGCGCCCAAATTCGCCCTTCTGGAGCGCTTGTGTCCGGATGATGGAGCGTTGGGACCCTAATACCTTGTGTACGAGTATGTATTCTGGGTCACTTGCGTGGCTGATAGCAGCTCCGCGATTTCCGCACTGTGCTCTCTCCCAACCTGCACCACTAGGTACCTAGGTACCTAGGTATGTACATACCTGGAGACCCAGCTCCCACCCTGCCTAGCAGCACTTCGTGCGCACAACGCTCGCCTTCTACTCTACCTACTTACCTATTTCAATCCTTCTCCGTCAATACGTTGAACGTCAGCTCCAGGTGCCGCAAAGCCTTCGTCGCCTTCAGCCGTGGCTCGTTACTCCGTGCTCGTTGCTCGTACCTACCGGTACTAGACTCGCTTGCGACGCCCTGCAGCGCGTCCTAGTCTGTCACAGCCCGTGGCGCCTCGGCGCAGGTCCTTGTCTCCTCCAGGGCCAGGCGGCGCATTGGCTTGACACGGCACCACACTCGCAGCCCTCCCGGCCATGAATGGGACCTGGGAGACAGCCCTTGACAGCCCTTGACAGCCCGCAAGTACCGAGATACGAAGTGTACTGAGTACGAGTATCGTACTGCAGCTAATACAGCCACGGATCCTCGTACAGTCTGGAGGGCTGGAGCGAGAACATTGTTCCAGGAATGTCAGAAAGGGAGCACGGAGCATGCAGGTATTGCTACCTACAGTACTACAATACTTTGTGCTCAGAGAGCAGCTACTGGTGTTACATACTATGTCCCAAGCAGCTAACTGCTACCAGGCATACAGAGGTGCTGCTACAAGGACTGCCGCTGGCTCGGAACCCTTGCCGCCCATGAGCGAACTGCAGCCGTCAATATTTGGCATCAGCGGACTCAACTCGCAACAGCAGGGCTTGAGTCAGATTATACCGCTACCTCTGCTCGACGTGACCACCTAATACTGCGTGCCCACTAGTCGAGAGTACGAGTAATAGTTTCCATCCATGCTTACGGAGGTACTGACTGGTCTCAAAACTAAAGGATTGCAGTTCGGCGAGCATCGCAGCCCAGTCAGGGCTGGAATTGCCTTGCTCTTCAGGGATCATCTTCTCCGTCTGAAGGGCCAGCGACCGCGGCTGCAGCTAAATCCAGCTTTGCAGGGGGGCTTTCGTCAAGGTCTGTCCCGGTCCTATGTACGAGTCTTATTGTTACTTACGAGTGTTCCAAGGCTGGCTTTGCTGATCATGTGATTGCTTGACGCGCAGGCAAGGGGGGGTAGCGGAACCAGATGAGCTGCACTCCGTGCTTGGTACGTGCTTGCAAGAGGACGTCCATCTCTCCTCCTTCGTCAATCTTCGGGGACCCGGCTTCGATGCCAGGATGGTGGTGCCAAGGACGGCGCGCTGCCAGCATCGATGGCCTCCATGGCTTGGTCTGGAGCCCTGGAACCGAATCCCCCGCCGCGACTGTCCCACCCAAGCCTCCGGTGAGTTGCAAAACTCGGACGGCGCTTGATCCACCGTCGCCGTGACCTGGCGGGCCGTGTCCTTGTCGCACATGTGGGGTTGCAGCGAATGAGGACGGCGCCATGGCATTCTAAGAATGAGCCCCCTTTTTTTGCAGACCCCTCTGGAGCCTCTCAACACGCCGCAGACCGCAGGCCTCTGCAGCTCCCTCAAAGGTACGATGATCGGCGTCAACTCGCCCACCTACGGTCAGGTCCAGACTTGGAAACCAGCCCAGCCGACAGGTTGGTTGGCGCACTACCTTTCAGCCGTCCTTTGTGGCGCATCAGAGCGAGGTTGTTTGTCTCGCAACACGAATGCGCTGGCACTGTATAAGCTTCTCTTGCATCCAGGTGCAATACTGAGCTCTCGAACGTGTTGCTGTATCAGGACATGCTAGCGATGAAAAAGATGGGACAGATGAAGCAGACACACCGGGCGGCTGTCGCGCGCTCTTGCGAGCAGGGTACATGATCATAATGCTTTGGCTACTGCTAACCAACTGGCGCAAATGCTTTGCATGGTTCATGGACCGCTGGTATCGTTGCAGGGTCCCTTCTTCCATCCTTCACACTTCAATGCGGGCGCCAACGTTCCACGCAGCCGTGTTTCGACCAGGGCGGCGTTTATTGCCTAGAAGCCCACATTCTTGCCTGTCTGCACCCGACCCTTCTGGGCTATCCGAACCCAGACCTACATAATGCCTTGAGAGAAGTACTACTGTGTATTGCTATTACCGTATACACTAAGATATGGCCCTGCTGACGCTACCTGGTACGAGAACCCCATGCCCTACAGCTTCCGCATGTTAATTGGGTTCCAACAGCACATGAAGCCTAAGGCCCTGATTTAACTCGCCTAGTTAGCTATCCAGCAGGCTAAAAAGGATACCTTTTATTAGCGCAACTTGCAGGTTAGTAGATCTTATACTTTAGAAATCCTAGTAATAAGGCTAGACTAGAATAAGATAACGCTCTTACTGCCTTTAAGTTAATTTTAACTTTATCTAATAGCTCTCCTTTATCTTAGCTTACTAATATATAAAATTATATAGCATTATTACTATATTTTATATTACTATAAGCTAATTATTAGCTATTATATTATTATAAGTTAGCTTATTTACTAATATAGTTATAAGGTAGTTAAATAAGTAAACCTTTTATTTCCTCTTATTACTTCTTAAAGTATAGTAAAGTAGCTAAATAAATTTATTAAAAAAAGTATACCTTTAAGAGGGTATTTAAAACCTTCTTTTATATATAGTTTAGCGCTTTTTAAAGTATATTTAAAAGTTTAAGTAACTAGAAAATAAGTATTAATATTTAAAGAAATTTTAAAAGGTCTTTACTACTATAAAAAAAATATCTAGTACCTTATATAACTAGGAGATAAGGAAGCTAGTAATAAGCTAGTAGAATAAAAAGCTTATTATTTAATAGTATAGTCTAGTTAGGTAATATATAGTAATAACTAGTCTTCTTATTAATAATAAAATAATATTTAAATTATAGTAAGAGATCTATTTAAATAACCTGCCTATTAATAAGCATATTATAAAAGTAATTAATAAGCTTGCCTTTATTAAAGGCAGCTAAAATGCAGGCTTAGGAGATATTATTATTTATAATGCTGCTAAAGTTAAGGAGGATAATTTAACTTAGCCTGCAGCTAGAACTAGAGGACTTAGTAATACCCTTACTTTATTAAAGACTAGTAATAATAATACTAATGCTAAGCTTATTATATTACTAGCAGTAACTCCTATAACTCTTATACTATTACTGCTGCTGCTAATAATGCCTTAGGCAGTCTTTATTATATAATTATAATTATTATTAATAATGCTATTAGCAGCATTTTATACTAATAGCCTAATAGCTAGAAAGAAGAAGAGAGTATTAAATTTAAATATAATAGCTAATAGCTTTTATAAATTTATATCTGCTATAGTAGTATATAATTTATAGCAGTAGTAGCTAAAGCACTATATTACTTATAATTAATAAGCTATTAAAGCAGAAGACTTTAAAAAGGCTATTTAAAATTACTTTCTTTTTTTAAAGGAATAAGGTATAGTATTTATTAGCTAATTAGTTTAGTAAATTTATAAAGATCTACTAAATTTATTAATATAAAATGCAATGCCTTTAAAAAAGGTAAAGGAGGTATAGTTAGCTATAAACTTTTTATTAAATTCTTAATATTTTTATATTAAGTTATAAATAGCTTTAAAATATATGCCTAGTAAGAATTATTAATTTTTTACTTTATTTAATTTACTGTCCCTCCTTACTTACCTTATAATATTAAAATTAACCTTAACTGCCTGCCTTAAGCCTTTATTTCTTTTTATTATTATTATTATTAGTCTTATTAGTTTTATTACTTTTATTACTGCTAAAGTTTATATTATTATTTTACTTTTTTAAATAAAGCTAATAATATTTTTAAGCCTGCTTAGTAATATATTCCTATAGTTTATTTTTATTTAATAATAGTATAATAGCTTTAGTATATTCTTAGGTAATTTTTATAAGATCTTATTTATAATTAGTTAAGATAAGTTACTTTTTTATATAGTATTACTTTAGTATCCTCCCTTTAAGCTTAATAAAGTTAAATAGGCCTATTACTATATATATAATACAGATCTAGTTAAGGAACTTATACTTAGTAGCATTATAATATATTATTTTTTATTTCTACTTATATTTACTAAAAACTTACTTAATAATTATTCTTTTTTAAAAGTGTTATAAGTTAAAAAGTTCTTTTTTATTCTAAGGTTATTAAGTTACTATTCCCTAGTCTTATAAATAATATTATATATTATTACTATAAGAAGTAATAACTTTTTACTATAGCCTAAAGCTAGCATTACTTAGTTAATATTATACTATTAGTATTAAAAAAGACTAAGTTAAGACTTAATATAAAAAAGCTATATTATTAATAAATCCTTTAGTATTAGTAAGAATATAGTAAAATAGGCTATTAAAGATAATAGCTATAAATATATTTTATAAAATATTATTTTTCCTTAACTAAAATCTTTACTGCCTTATTAATAAAATATAAGCTAGGATAAGTATTTTATTAATAGCCTTAATTATACTACTAAATATAAGGAATTTAATTTTAAGCTTAATAGCTAGTAATAGGTATATTAATTCTAGCTATTAAATAAAATATATATATAACTGCTATATAGGATTTTTAAGTTTATAAAAGACTTATAATATTATACTTTAGCTAGTTTAAAAGTATAGCGCTATATTCCTTTATAGCTTACTATATATATAAATTTATAAAAATACTATAACCTTTTACTTAATTAACTGCTGCCTACTTTTACTAATACTGCTATTAGTATAAAGCCACTAGCAGAGGGTAAAAAACACAGCCTTTTTTATATAAAAGAGGGTATTAAATAATATATCTAGTAAGCTTAAGAGCTGCTAATAGTATTTTTATAAGGTAATAGAAGTGCCTTATAGTAATAAGTTAGTATCTTTAACACTAGCTAATGCCTCCTTATTATTAAAAGACTAGGTGCTAGATAGGTTAGTAATAGGCTTAATAACTAAAGTAATATATACTAATATAAAAATAGCTATATATAAGTTATCCTAAGCCTAGCAGCAGTTTATAACTATATATAATAATAACTAAGTTATGCCTAGTATATTACTAGTAATTATAATTAAATTTATAGTATATTAAAAAGAGGTTTAGCTATAACTAGCTAATAAGTAAGACAGTAAGTATATTACTTAACTAGTATTATAAACTGTTTTTTTTTATAATAGCTATTAGTAGAATTAGTAAATTTATTATAATATTTTTAGTAACTATGCCTATAATAAATAATTATATAGCCCCTGCTAGTATAATATATTATTAATAAAGGGGTGTTAGGGATTATACTTTATAATGTATTTTTTCCTATATTTATGCTGAAAATCCTTACTAATTTAAGACTAGTGACCTTTTTATGCATTTTATTTAACCTGCTAAATGGCAACTAGGCAAGTTGAATCAGGGCCTAAGAGGACAAGATGAAGTCTACTGGAAGTCCGAGACGGGGAGCAAGGTTGGGGCAAGTACTGTACAAGTACGTGATTTTCGAGGGCTGCCAAGTGGTACAGGCAGTGGCCTGTTAAGAGATGTTTCGAGTCCCCGGACAAGCGTGTCATCTCCGCCAGCCAGACAACACACGAAGAGAAAACGCATCACGAGATTCGCTTACTGACTGCCTCCTATAGGTACTCGTAGTCCTCTTTAGTGTCGCTCTCGGCGCCGGCTGCATCCTGCCATGATATACCTAGTAGCTAGTGGTGACCTAGATCACTGCTTTCAAAGGCAAGACGCCACTCGTGAACACTTGATAGGTACCTTACGATCAGCGCAAGACTCGAACAAGTGATGTGTCTGAGCATTGCAACCACCGGGAAAATACCCAGAAAGCGTACGTATGTAGGTACTGCTCCCCCCCCCCCCCCCCCCCCCCCCCTACAGCCACGCAGCGCGTACGAGCTAATACCGCTACATAGTACGGTTTGCATGAGGCTATGCTGGTCTGCGTCGAGGAAAGACAGTCACTACGGAGTACCACCGCAAAATTCCGCTTTTTGCAGCTCGATGCCGCGGCTTGCCTGTCTCACAGGCGTACGAGTACAACCTGGATCCCGGCCGAAAACTCAACGCCACCTGTCTTTCACGACCCGGCTCAATCATGAACTGTACAGGGAACACGTACTACTACGAGTAATAGTACGATACGAATCACGTACTGCACGAACATACCTTTGCCCCGACTCAAAAGACCGGCCAAGCATTGTTGCAGCTGTGTGAGCGTCTAGCCTTGCCCGACCTGCGGCGGCTGCTAGCAAGGATCCAAGACCATATCGCTCGTGTCGATTGCACCGCATCTTATAGAGGTCTCATTCCCTGGTCCCGACGTGCAAATGAGTCAACAAGAGTGCAACGCCTATAGCGGAGTCCTCCCTCTGGTGTGGCCCTTGATGCCACCACGGGGCTGTCCTTATGGAGTATCACGTCTACTGCCTACTATTACTGCATTACATCCTGACGCCAGCCTCGAGGGTTTCCAATTAGCGGAGCTGGTGACGCAGGGATATTTGGTCAAAAAGGTCCGGATTCAAGGGCCCCAGAGAAGTTGATGGCCGTGCTTCGACTTGTCGAAGGGTCACATTTTGCTAGCGTGTGAGCTGACCGCCCAACAGCCAAACCAGCGAGTGTGCCATAGAGAAAGTGGAACGGTGCACAGTACAGAGTTCTTGCTTGCCAGAGTCCAAATCGTCCAAGCAAAGCACTAACCTACCACCCAGGACTAGGCCAGACATCCACTCCCACAATATACTCGTATCGCGAGCCACTTGCTGCTTTTCCAGGTACATGTACGTGCCGCTAGATGTGTCGCCTGAACGGAGACTTTGTGTCACTCAGCTACCGCCTTGGCACCGGATGTCTTCCGACATCCCACATTTCTCCTCGGTCTCGGACGGCTTGCGGCGATCAACGTACATTCTACGCACATATGGGATGCATCCGGCGTGGTCTATTGCATCATTTGGCTGATCTGATTCTCGGACCTTTGTCAAGCAGGTCTCCTTCAAAGGTCCTGTGTCAGCGTGGGCTTGTCTGCAACATCTTGGCTGACATATTGATGACCATTTCTCCCCTTCGTGAATCCAAGCTGTGTCCAGCGATCCACGGCTTGAGGCGATCACGGCAGGGCAAGGAGGAATCAAGCTCAGTGCCTATAACGATTACTTCCGTGGTATCACGCAGAAACAGCCGACTCAATGGTGACCGGAACGCGTCTGGATCAAAGATCTACCGTCGATAATAGCGGGAAAGTGCTCGATATCGTACGAGGACTCTGCTTGGTACATCAACATACGAGTACTAGTAGGTAGGTATGCATGTGCCGTACTCGTACGCCATTGGAATGCCTGATCCATATTTGACCTTCCAGGAAGCCGACAGAGGCGAATCCCGTACAGATGCTCTCCAACCCATCCACCTTTTATTGTGATCCCGATTGTCCGTTTCACTTGACGCCCGCAGCCGACCCAGCATCACCCGAAGTTGGAACGAGTACATGTACGGAGACCTTGCCTGAGCATGGCAGTCGGATTCCGTTGGACAAACTGGTGAGCCTGCATGCAGCGGCCCCATGCAGCGTTACCCATGTGTGTACGAAGTACCTTTTCCGTACTCGAAGGTAGGTAGGTAGGTAGGCAGCGCGCAAAAATGGCCAAAAGTTGACGTTCGATGTGGGCTAATACCGGCCTCTGCTCTTGTTCGATAGGTACAAGTACTCGTCGCTTCCATTCTGCAGGGGTGCCAATGTGTGCACTTGAACGGAGATACTCGCAGTATTACGACTACAGAATGTTTCCTTTTCTTTCTATGGGAATGATCTGGGTTGACTTATTGCTAGCCTCGTCGCTTCCCCCAATGGGCGTGTCTCTAGAAATCTTGGCTACGGGCTGGTGTTCCCGATATAGCTTCCCGATCCTCTCTGTCTCGTCCATCCGCACCCTTTTCAGAAGCTTCCGCATCTAACCAACCACTCGGAAGTAAGGTACAATCAGTGCTTCGCCAAGTACCAACACCAGGACCGCCTCGACTCTGGTCTCAGGCGCCTGTCTGATGACGGAGATTGAGTGCATACGAGTATTACAGAGTGCTATTAGTGCATATCACAGGCAGAGGGCAACGACGCATCAGCCATGGTCACTCACCCCTTTCACGCATCCACGAGTCGGGAATCCTCTGCCTGATCAGACGCCACCACCTGTTGTAATTTGTAACAGTCTTACTATGTATCACAGGTATGTGCACATGAAAAAGTTGCAGCTTGGAAGCCCCAGGCCACCATCATTACCTTCAAAGTACAACTACCCGCCTTATCAATGTTCAAATTGTTTTACCAAGCTTGTTTCAATGGTGGGCGTCATTTTCATCTTGATGATTCCTTGGGTTTTGCGGCGCGAGGTTGCCCACGATATGGGCCCATTCCTCTCACCAAGTTTCACAGAACCGCTCTATGCCTCCAGGCCAACCACGCACGCGTGAGGCACTGGACCGTTGGCAGCCATCTTTTCCATCCCAGAGACGCATGGTGGTGGAGAGGAGGGGAAAGGGGACGAAAACCATTAATACTACTACTTCTACTAGCTTGAGTGACCAGCAGCCTGTTTGCCCGCATGCAACCTGGGATGATATGCACGGACTAGCGATTCGGGGACATGGGGGCTTTTGCTCTCGCCCTGCCTCATGGGCGATTGAGTGCAGGCTGCCCGATGGCCAGGCCCACCGCGGGCGGAGGAGTCGAGACGCATAAGACAGCAGCTGTGATCGCCTGCCCACAATTAATCACCGGCCTTTCCAAGGACCAAGCATCATGATCATGGATCCCCCTCACTGTGGCTTGTCACTCGTCGCCTCCTCTTTGTCTCTGGCCGCCTTGGGCGTGGGACCTTGCCTTGATGAGAGAGCTGTGAAGCCGTGCTAGCCAGTCGAGTCTTACATGGTGTTTCTGGTTCATCTGACACCGTTTGCACACTATCCACCTCATGGGCTCGTCCTCAACGCACCACCAGCCCGTTTCACCGCTTCTTAACCCCTTCGTTAGCACGGATGAAAAGGTCGTCCGGCTACGATGGGGATTGCCAGACCAAGACCACGCACGGCTTGCTGGCTGCCCGCTATCATGTTTCATTGTTGCCAAGTCCCATGAGAGGGGACCAGCTATTTGCCAGACTTTGCATCTTATGTGGACGGGCACACACACACATATAGATACACATACAGACATACGCAGTACCAAGCGCTCATGTTTTGTCGCATGTATTGCTTTTCACTACCGGTGTCCATGCGGAGCACTCCGTACGAAATACACGTTCACAGCCCCTGTGTTCATAGTAGTAGGTACCTGGGTTGGCCCTCGAAGTGATCTCGCCTCCCCCCCCCTAGGAATTGGCTGCCAGAAGTGGCGCGACGCTACCTCAGGACTGCCCAATCTTTTGGGTAATACACAGAGCGCGAGCAGGTCGGCCATTCGTCTTCCTGGCCATTCAATGATAGGACGGACAGGCAGCGGCTCGGACCCGCCCAACTTTGTTTGTTTGTCTCTTACGAGGAATCGGAGCGAGGGGCCTGGGTTGGCTGCCAACAATGCTAGGAGATTGATGGACGACGGGCATTGCTCACTCAATCATCACTCCCTCACTCACTACCTACCTACCTACCTACCTACCTACCTACTGTACTAGCCAGTCACGGACATGTACGCCGAGCCCCTGAAACCCCTCCCTCTGGACCTTTGTCGTGGCCAGGTGTACAGCGAATCTCAGCCCGTGGCTTACATCCCAATCTCTGCTGCGGCACACCAGGCTGTAGAGCATTCCCGCAACAAAGGTGTCACCCGCTCCAACCGAGCTAATGGCAAGAAGACATGTCAGCTGCGGTGCCTCCCAAAAGCTCCGTGCTACCTTGCTACCTTGCCACAAGGTACAAGTACTCGGAGGAACCAGCCAAGGCTCGCAACGCGATGCCGTAGAGCCAAAATGGGAGAGGAGGGGGGGGAGAGCTTCGCCTTTGTTTGGTGCAACCTACTCAACAACAGAAATGGGCTTTGCCCGGGTTTCCACGGGACAGTGGATGACTTGCTCCGACGGCTGGCGCAAGGCGGTTGCTCCCTCCGCACCCCAGGTGCATAGAGCAAGGGACTTGCTGCTCCGAGTGTGAGTATGCGGGCTTCGTGCTCTGTACGGGCTGACCATGTTCGAATCACGGGCCAGGATCGATTGGGCAGGATGACATCCGCAAGCAGGGCGTTCAAAAACGAAGAGAAGGGCATGCTTACGCTTTGCGTCGTCGTTGCTCGTCGATGAGACACGATTCGGCGGACCCATGGCCACAGCTCTAGGACGGAACTCGTTAATCTCTCGGTCTTTCTGACGCCCTGTTGGACTTTTTTGCCCCCCTTTGTGGGTGAGTATTTGCTTTGGCCTCTTCTTGACCACATCTTCATGAGGTATGCTCTCCATATTGACGGGAGTCCAATTATGACAAAGACCACTGCTTTGCTTGCTCTTCTCATAATTTGCTTGCTCTTCTCATAATTTGCTCGCTCTTCTCATGCCACCAGTGCCACCAGTGCCACATACCTCTGCCCAGGACTTGGAGTAGAAGACCACGTCGGCCTCGGCGGCGAGCTCACGAAGGCCGTCCCTGCCTGGTTTCTCGACTTCGACGCTGATTTGCGCGTTTGGCAGCTGATCACGCAGCGTGCGGACGCACTCCAGCGTGGTATCGGGGATGCGGCCCTGAGCTATAGTTGTGAGACAAAGGATTTCTCGACGAGGGAGGGTGTCGAGGGGTGATCAGATGCCGTGGCGTCCCTTCGCTTGACAGCAAGAGTCGACGAATTGGCCGCAGGCGCCACGGCCCCATCACAGGCGCAACAACTCCAGCCCAAGAGAGAGAGAGGCACAGCAGCGGGGATTCCTGCTCCTGTCCTCCCTTTTCTGCCTTCTCACTTCGTCGTGTCCTTGTTTTGCGGCTCGGCTTGGGACGGGGGCTGGACTCACTTCAAAGTGCCACCAGGTGTCCTCGCAGGCACCGAATTTCCGCACGATGGCCTCGAACTCGGCAGCTGTCATTTCCGGTAGGTCGTTGTAGTTGACAATGGTACGGCTTCCCGTTGACTCGCTACGAATGATGTAACTGCTGGCTGCCTGCGTGTGCGCCTCTCGGTAGAGGCAGAGATCGAGGTTGACTGGCGATGATGACGGCGAGGACGACGACTCACCAACAAGGGAAAAGGAATCCTTGATACGCTGCGTAGCCGGCGATGATTCGCTAGGAAGGGGTGACACGAGGTACGTGCGGACGGCATCTCGCGGCCCAAGGAGCTGCTGCAGGACCTCGAGCGAGTTGGGGCAGTTGCCGCCGCGACGGATCTCGAGGCGGGAGGCTCGCTGCTTTGCGTCTTCGGCAGGGAATTGCGGGACGCTGCGTGCGTGAAAGAGGTATGTTAGAATATGTGGTGCATGATGAGGAGTGATAGATAGGTAGCATCTCAGTCTTGTATAAGTAAGAAGAAGACGGGGAGCTTTGGGTCTTTCCTTAGGATGGTGTCGAGGTAACAGGCCCCGACCATGATGAGGTGCCTCATTCTCGAGGCTGTGTTTTGAATTTCCTTCTTTCTCTGCCTTTTTGTGCTTGTGTGTTGTCTTTTATCATGTGCTGTCGTTTGAAGAAATGGTGACGATTCCCGTGATTTTATGTCTGTGAGATGAGGTGAGTTGAGCTTGGGCATGATGATGATAGATGTTGAGGCTCCGCCCTACCCCACTTGTTCTAGCAGCGAGTCGATAAGAGTAAGTTGACGTTGATTCTGAAGCCAGCATCTTTCTATCGAAAGTGAAAGATGGATCAATCAGGCACAGGCGAGTCCAATTACCGTCATGAGCCTCATGTTGGGATATACTGGTGGCAAGTCACAGCAACTTCCAGGGTTCCGCAGCTGAAACAGCCATATCTGAGTCGAATGCCCACACGACGATACATACGACACAGGAAGGCCAAAGATGACGTAGGTGAGCCGAAAAGACCCTAAACTCATCAGGCAAGCATCTTGCTTCATTTCTTCTGCTTTGGATAAGTTGTGCACTCGTGAGATGAGCCACTACTACTGGGAGATACTTCTGAAACTTTTAATCTCTCATAAAAATCTTGTGAAGTTCTCTTTGTATGTCAAGCTGCTTCACTCACTTGCCCGGCACTTACCCTGTGATTATTGAACCACAACTTACCACATGGATTTTGAGCAGTGCACTTGTTGCAGCATATTGGCAATTGACTCGTATGGGACTTTAAATTATGGAATTTGAATACCTTCGATAATATGGATGGTGGAAAGATTCGAGTCTGGCCAGAGTCGAGGTGACGACAATGTTCGAAATAGCCATCAATACACTGTTGAGGCTGTCAATGCACAAGGTGCTAAGAGGCAACCGCATTCTGTCCATTAATATCACCAGCACACAATCTACACTCCACTCTCGCTGTCCCTCAACGACCAAACTTGACTTGCTTGTCATTCCATATTGCCCTGTTTGCCGAGGCACTTCATTTGTCCTTGGACGATCAGTATTCAGTAATGGCATTGTACGCATCATGGTGATTATGCGAGAAAAGCAGCGAATCTGACTGGCCGCCTCAACCGGGAACTCTGATCCCCACATCGGCTCGATCTAAGCGTCTGTTTGGCATTGAGCTGCGGAAGCGCAACTGACAGAACTGACCATGTATTACAGCATGGGCCATCATCCGATCGTGCGAGATCTTCTCAGCTTACTGACGGCTGCTCACTGCGAATCCTGTTCCTTTTCAACCGTCAAAAATTCGACTGATTGACTCTCCACGATCTTATAAGCATCATCATCATCAACCATCATCTGAACGACAGCAGCAAAGAGGCTCACAATTCTCGACTCTCCTGTCCCCGTTACACGGCATTCTCTGGTGCATGGACTGCGCAGCGGCAACCCCGCGATAGACTCAGCTATTACATCATGGGCTGGGACGGCGAGGAAGACGGCGAGACGAAGCGCCCCAAGCACATTTCGTTTGAGGACGGCAGCTTGGATGGGAGCGACGAGGACGAGGGAGCCGTCGAGGTGAGTGTACTCAGCTATTAATTTTAGGCATCATCACGACCAGAATCGGTGGTCCTGGTACTGACAAGTCGTGCCACCAAACAGGTCACCTTTGACAATGGAAACCCATACAGGAGAAAGAGCTCGCTCGTCACGTCCGAGGCAGCCGTGCCCAAGACGAAGCGCATCCCGCCTGGCCAGCGCGCCGAATGCGTCGTCCACCAATTGATCGAGGACCAGCGGCGCTCGCGACACTCCTCCGCCGCGAGCTCGCCCAATCGCAACCAGTATCGCGCGCATCCAATCTACACGCACCCGAACCACCACGAGAGCGCCGTGGACATTAGCAAGGAGCGGAGAATGGACCGGATCATCGATCTCAAGAGCCCCGGCGACCAGCAAAAGTGCCGCGCGGTTGTCGACACCGAGTGTCTCTCCGATGAGGATGCCGGCCTCGGACAGGTGGACCAGAAGGTATGGACGAAGGAGATGACCAAGACGGACTCGGAGACGGATCTCACCCACCACACCTCGTACGAGAACATACACAGCCGCATGTTGACCAAGAAGCAGCTGAGCGACATGGCGTGGGGGGTTCGCGAGCTGAGCAGGCGGCTGAGCAGCATGCGCATCCGCTTCCGGGTGAGGACCATTTTCCTCTTGACAAAGATCCACGACTCGGATCTGATCTGCAACACGCGCGCGCTGGCGCAGTGGCTGCTCAGCAAGGAGAGGGACGTCAAGTATGTCGTGTACGTGGAGAAGATCCTCAAGACCAACAAGAAGTTTGATGTGGGGAGGATGGTCGACGACCTGGTTCGCGACTACGCCAAAGAGGGCGGCGTGGACGAAGAGAGCGCCCGGGACGATATCCAGAAGCGTCTCCGGTACTGGGACGAGTCCATGTGCAGGGCGCGGCCTCACCAGTTCGACTTTGTCATCACCCTCGGAGGAGACGGCACGGTTCTGTACGCGAGCTGGCTGTTCCAGAGGATCGTGCCGCCGGTCCTGAGCTTTGCGCTGGGCAGTCTCGGGTTCCTGACCAAGTTTGACTTTGAGGACTTTAAGCCGATCCTCACCTCTGCGTTTCACAAGGGCGTGACGGTCAGCCTGAGGCTTCGCTTCGAGTGCACGGTGATGAGGAGCGTGCGAAGGAAGACGCCCGAGCCAGAGTCCGAGGAGGACAGCGACGACACGCACTTTAAGCGGGATCTGGTGGAGGAGCTGATTGGCGAGGAGAATGAGGATGAGCGGACGCACCGGCCGGAGGGGACGTATGAGATACTGAATGAACTGGTGGTTGATCGAGGCCCAAATCCAAGTGAGTTAATTCCCACCACACGTCTTGTAGTGCCAAAAGCCCGATTTCCTCTTCCCCCAAAACACAAACTGATACGAAACTTGTCTCTTCACAGCAATGTCGTATACGGAAATCTTCGGAGACGACGAGCACTTTACCTCTGTGCTTGCTGACGGCATCTGCGTGTCTACACCCACGGGTTCGACGGCGTACAATCTCGCCGCCGGAGGCTCGCTGTGCCATCCCGAAAACCCGGTGATGCTCGTCACGTCCATCTGCGCCCACACGCTGTCCTTTAGGCCCATTATCCTGCCGGATACCATCGTGTTGCGGGTCGGCGTGCCCTACAACGCGAGGACGTCGTCATGGGCCAGCTTTGATGGGCGAGAGCGGGTAGAGCTGAAGCCGGGCGACTATGTTACCGTGAGCGCAAGTAGATATCCGTTTGCGTCGGTGCAGACGGAGGGCCGGAGGAGCGAGGATTGGATCAATAGCATAAGCGGGAAGCTGGGGTGGAACACGAGGCAGAAGCAGAAGGGATTCAAGGACTGGGACACTTAGGTGCCTTGTGTTTTTGTCATTCATAGGTCTTGGAGTATGGCTTAGGATATAGCTTGTTGGATACTGCTTTGATAGAGGCGGGTTTGCCAGGCTGCCTATTTGTTCGGTGTAAACACACAGAAAAGGGGCAACGACCAATAATATCTACCTCAATGATATCTCATTCAGTATGATAGGAGAAAGCCAACCAACAACATGAAGGAAGAGCGTCTCGGCTCCGTGAGACAAGATGATGCAGTCTCAGACTCGATACCATAGAGGGCCCACCCCCACAAATGGGCTGACGAACAATGTCTGCAGCCCCACGCTAGCAAAGACGACCGTGGTTCCAAGCTGTGCGACTTTTGGTGACAAGACGGCACACGCTGTCAACTTTTTCTCTCTCTCTTGACATTGGGTGTAATTGTGCTGAGTGCTGACAAGAGGAGGCAATCCTTGCCATTTGTGTTCGAAGCAGCAGCAGCATCTCTGAAGCCTCAATTGAATTGACTCGTCGCGATACAGAGAAAAGACACCATCCAGCTCGACAACCCCACGATCCAAACGACCAAACCCAAAGAAACCACCACAAGAACCACAACCCACAATGGCCTCCCAACCATCCTCCTCCTCCTCCGCCCTCCCCCCGGACCTCTTCGACAAAACAACCCTCATCTCCCTCGCATCGACCCTCGCCATCGTCCTCATCGCCTACCTCGCCTCCCGCATCGCCCTCCCGCGCTCCTCCACCACCACCACCACCACCATCCGCTTCCTCTTCATCTGGCACCTCGCCGACGCGCTCTGCCACTTCCTCCTCGAAGGCAGCTTCCTCTACCACTGCTTCTTCTCGTCCATCCCCGTCGCCGAGGCCCGCCGCCGCGGCATCCTCGCCGACCTCGTGCCCACGCCGTATAACTTCCTCGGCCGCGAGGACGGCGCCATCTACGGCCCGCAGAGCGGCGGGGACAATCCCTTTGCGCAGCTCTGGATGGTCTATGCGAGGGCCGATCGACGATGGGCTGGGGCTGATTTGGTGAGTCTTTCTTTCTTTTCTTTTCTTCTTCTTCTTCTTCTTCTTCTTTTGTTCCCAACAATAATTGTTGCCTCTAAAACACATGGCAAGAGAGACAGACAAAAGAGGAGGGAAACGAGCATCACAAGGACATTTTGCTTTATAGAGACAAAACTGTACTAATCGAATCGAATGGCAACAACAAAAAACAGGGCGTCATCAGTCTGGAGCTTCTAACAGTCTTCTTCGACGGCCCCCTCGCAGTATACATCTGCTACCTCCTCGCAAAGGGAAACCCCAAGGCCAGCATCTGGATGATTGTCCTCGCCACATGCGAACTCTACGGAGGTAAATATTTGAATGCTCCCAACACACAACACACACACACACACACACACACACACACACACACACACACACACACACACACACACACACACACACACACACACACACACCTCACCCACACCACGACCAGGAAAAAAAAAGACAGACAAAACTAACAAGAACATGCAATGCAGGCTTCATGACCTTTTGCCCCGAGTGGCTCACCGGCAACATCAACCTCGACGGCAGCAACTTCATGTACCTCTGGGTGTACCTCGTCTTCTTCAACATGCTGTGGGTGTTTATCCCGCTGTTTGCCATTGCCTACTCCATCGGCGACATTTCGAATGCGTTTGCTGTGCGCGAGGCGTTGAGGCAGGCCAGGAAGAAGCACTAAATGCATGGAAAACGATCCACGGGGCGGACATGCTGGAAGGCATTTGTACGTATATTCAAGCTGTTCAGGCTGTGTACTGTTACTGGGCAAAGAACCAAGAGCCCGTTGCCTGTACTGGTGTTGATTGTGCGCTGGAGTTTCTGCACGGGAGTTGCTGGGATATTTGCTTGATATCATGCTGTGTTTGGATATCACGACATCGTAGTGAAGACCAGCTCAAGATTCAACAAATCCAACAAAATTTATCATGTCCATCAAAAGTTCAAAGCATCATAACGCAGGTTCAGACACACTTTCACGACAAAGTCATCGTAAACAAACATCACACTCGAGCAAGAAAATCAAGTAGGGTGAGAATTTATATTGTGCTAATAGGGTATCTTTGTCTGCGTCGACAAACCGAAGCCATGTTGTTCGTCGTTGATGCTTCTTTCAACCATCCATCCCATGCACTCCTTTAGATAGCCTGCTTGTGGGCCTCGCCCTTGGTGTCGTGCTTGGACTCGTCAACCTTGTCGCCGAGAGCGTCCTTGGCGGCGGAGGCACTGCACAACAGAATGGTTAAAACCGTGTTTGCCATCGAGACACAAGTGAAGAGGGAGAAGTCTTACCGAGTGCCGAGGGGGGCATCGCTGTCCTTGGCGACGTTCTTGTTGGCCTCCTTGGAAGCGCCAGAGGTGGCCTGCTGAACCTTCTCGCCGACGTAGTTGGCACCCTGCTTGATGGACTCCATTGTGATGGTTGTTTGGTGGTTGCTTGAGAGTTGGTTTGTGAAAGTGTTGCAGTTGTTGCTCGAGGTTTGTAGTGTGAGAGTGTGTGATGATGAAGGAGGAAAAGAATGGAAGAGGGATGGGAGATGAAAGAGTTTATATAGACCGATGAAGGCGGGAAGGAACGCATGAAAGTGGCCCTTGCACTCTGGACCATATCCGAGCAAGAGCTAAAGACCAAGGCAAATTCACTCCTGCCGGCCATCATGTGAAGCAGGAACATGGCGTCATAGAACACATCATCATCAGCAGCAGCACCAAGCTTGTGAAATGGGCTCCGAGGCAGGAGCGCATTGGGGGCGGATGGGTACGTGCAGTAACTTGCTGGTTCCAAGGCGGAGTGACCTTGGATCTACGCAGTATCTTGGTTGTGACGTATGTAATTGCCCGTTATAAACGTGTACCGAGCGTCATTGCGGCTTCTTGAAACAGCAACCTGGAACGTAAAGTACGCTGCGGGATATCAACAGATGGAAGGCGTGCTCTCCATACAGTACAGTACAATAAGGCAAGTATGCTTGCGTTTACCTGAGGTAGGAGGTGCATGACATCACGCCTTTGAGGGGGCGAGAACGTCACGGCCGTGTGAGTTGCTCGAGTAATATCGGGATCCGGTGAAAGAAGGTCGACTCCTGAGGCCAAGCTGCCGGAACCGTGCCAACCAAGGACACGGTAGGACAGGCGTCCATCAGACGGGATTGGCTGCCGCCTCCGACAAGCTTCTTGCTACTGTGAGTATGCATATCTTGCGCATGTGAGTGAAATCGGCGGGGCGATCGAGCTGGATCGGACCCCCATCTCTCTCCATAGTATGTACAGTACAGTAATAGTTAATCCCACAGCTCCAACCAAGGCAATCTTGCTTTCGACTAGGTGGGCATCACGATACGAGGACTGCACTGTATCGTAAGGGTGCAATTTGTGGCTGGGGAAAAAGTATTCCCCTTTGGAGTTGTTGGTGCTGTTTCTGGAGCTTGCCGTCGCCGGTGACGCCACGCGTGGCGCCTCTAGATCGCAGGCGGCCGTGAGAAAGTGGGGAACTCCCGCGGGGCCCTCAATGACGCATCAATGGCATAATAACCACGACGCTTGCGCTCCGCTCTTCCTGCCTTGTTGGTCGCGTCCTCTCTGTGAGATGCAGATTCCGCAGTGCGGCGGCGATTGGACCTGCTGATGCAGCGCATCGAGATCTGCAGGGGATCGAGGACGGAAGATTGACTCCGCTGCTTGTTGTTGGCCGAGCCAGCCTGCCTTGATTTGGTTGCCTCGTTTGCTGGAGCTTACCGAACCATGACGCTATGAGGCGCGGGCGCGGATGAGGCCAGTTTGCATTGTCGCGGTTGGTGCTGTTGGAGGGAAGCTGTTCGTTGAAGCCGTGTGTTGTGGAGTTGTGCGTGAGTGAGTGAGACGACGAGTCGTGATGGTGATCGTCAATCGAGGCTACGAAGCTCGAAATTCGAAGTTTCGACATCGGATTCGATCTTCTCGATGCTTCCCAGTGCTCGAAAGCCAGTCATTGTGCCATGGAGAATGGGAAAGAGCTCCAGAATTGCACATTTCGATCCGGACGAACATCAGGGTCCAGGGATTGTGTCCCAACACAGGCACCTCTCGCGCTTCCTTGCGGGTTTGCTGGTGTAATACTATGTACTAAGTAGCCATTTGAAGCGAGCAAGATGACAGACTCCAGCTCGCCCACCGTGATCCCCTGGTGATGGTGTTTTGTCGACAGTAACACGACAAAGACGATTGATGGCGTTCTCCCGGCTCAGCAACGAGCTATCAAACCAAGTGGAAACTGGGCATTTCATACGCTGATGTGGTCTGGAGAGGATGCGGGCCTACTGTATAAGACAGACCGGATGCCTTGAGCAGCTGTTGACAACTTGAAAGGCGCCGTCGTTTTATTTAGCTCGTACTGTGCCGTTGCTCTTCTCTCGCTCTTTACTTATTTTTTTGAGTGAACCTTCAGCTACCAATACATTGCAACACGATGAAGCCGGGTCCACAAGCTGTCGCGAAACGTGTGATATAAAGAGGACTGTCACACTGAATGTTCTACTGGCAGAGCCAAAGCTCTATCGTGAGCGGCATCGTGAAGACACCAAGGAGAGCAACTGCGATTGCGGGCAACATGTTCTGACCTGGTGCAGCATGCACGCCTTGAGGGTTGGAAATGAGTAGGTACTGACCAATGCTAGGATACCTTTCTGAAGCCGGGCTCCAGCACTTATATGTCGTCTGTACTCGTACATATTGGCACGGGATCGCCCTTGGATGTTTCAGCCTTGCATCCCGGCAGTGCTCAGAACATGAGCAAGACAACCAGAGCTTGCAGCACGGATCAGCTGTTCGAATTTAGTACTGTAATTCTACAGCTATCAAATTCGATACGCAGAAGCAAAAGGGCATCTTCTCCAAGCTTCATCATTTCATACAGTATCATCTCGTCGATACCTCGCGATAAACGACCCGCAGGCCGCGATGCGATGCGGCAACCAGGGGGTTCTCCGCGAATGGCCTTAGCCGGGATGGACCATGTTAGCGGCTCTTCGGTGCTCGCAGGCTTACCGAATCGGTGCCAGAATCACACGCATTTGGCTGCGGCATGCATGAGTAGCAGCTTCAACGCTTGCCTCCAACATGGAGCTCCTGAGTTTCGAAACTCGAAGCTGTTCCAAGTCTGCCTCAAACATGAACCCCCGCCACCACCCTGAAGACGGACGCCGACAGCCTGTCACTCCCATCATCCCTCACACGGCTCATGAGGCTCTGACATCTGTTACCAGGACATGGCTGCGAAAAGGTACCTATCTGTGGGCTTGAGCGGCAAGGCTATGAAGCAGCCATCAGCTATCGTGGCCATTTCTTGACTGGTCCGAGTTGTGATGGCAACAGAACGCTTTGGCAGCCATTTGCGGCAAGCCTGGACAACCACCGAGACCTCTGCGGCTCCTCTAGCTATCGCTGTGACTACTCCTAGTCATGTTCCAGGTTGAGACGGACGACAGAGAGTGAGCATGGTTCATGAATAAAGCAAGGCACTGGCTGTTCTTTCAAGATAGCCTCAAGGCCACTGCCAGCCCCTGGCCAAGACGACGGTGTCAACCGGTGGTGCCGATTGCAACGCAGACCCATGTTCTCCTAAGCCTGGACCTTGAACTCATCCCCAGGGTCATCGTCCGGATCTTCACGTCCCGGAACTCCCTGGACATGGCCTCGTTCACTGCCCCACGCTATACGGCCAGCTTCTCTCCTTCGTCTCATGCGCCCGTCTTTCACGCTTTCCTTTGCCTTCACTACTCGCTCTGGTAGCAGTATTCGGCGTCGGTGAGGAGTAAACATTGTTTCTTTCACTTTTTTCTTTGGTCCTCTTTCTCTCCCTTCTCTCCCTTCTATCCCTTCTCTGCTTGTTGCTTGTTGGCTTCGTTCTGTGGCCTGCGCGTAGTCGTCTGGACGACTGATACCGCGGCTGTTTTGTGTCGGGCGTTTGGATGTTTGCAGGTGGCCAAGCTTTCCAAGCAGCTCTTTTCACTCGTTTCTTTGCTCCCGCTGGACGATAGCAATCTTTTCGAATCATCTCTTGCTTCCTTCTTTATTCTTTCCAGCATTCCCTTATGGTTCATTACCGCTAGCGGCACGAAAAACCGACTATACAGCTTCACCTTGGTATCGAAAGGTGCCAATGGCAGTCTGAGGCTTCACTCGTCGAGGCTTCGGCGCCGGTGCTCGATCTGCCAACGCTTTCGTCACCAAAGGCCAACTGGAGGCAAGCCAGCGGCCAATCAAACATGGAAAGCTGGAATATACAATCAGAACGATCAAGGGGGGTGGTATGGGCCAGGGAAGTGGACGATGGTATGGGAGGATTCCAATTCATGGACAATACGACGGCCTCTGTCATCAACAGCCTCAAATTTGACGTTGCCCGGCAAGTCCGATCCATGATCATTATTCTTGCTGGCTTCAATGTCGCCATGGCTCTCGTGTTGGCAATCATCATATTTCGAAATGCTTACAAGGCGATCCGAAAGAGCGATCCAGCATTTGGATTTCGGTATTCCTCACAGCCTCATCCTTGAATGGATTATTGTAATTCCCAACTAACACTGCTCTAGCTCCTCTTTCATCAGATACATCGAGACATCAGAAGTATTCCCGTTTGTCTTGGCCATCGGCATAATAATCCAGGGCATCATATACGCTGCCAGCCAGATCAAGGGCCTAGAAGGCCTCCTGATCCTGGGATGTACGTCCATATCACAGGCCATGTTCCCAGGTAAGTACCTTATGTTTCACCCAAACTTCCCTCGAGACTGCCTCTAACCATTGCTAGCCCTGTTTGTTGTTCCGTTCATACAACTAGTCTTTGGGCTGGAATCAACCGTTCAAGCTCTGAGGCGGAAGCCATTCCAACAGCGGCCCAGATGGGTCATTGTCGCCTGTCTCCTCATGGTTATCGTCGGTCTCTTGGCGTTGTATGTGCAGACGCGCTTTAGGCGGCCTCCAGATCTGTGTTATGCTTCCCTTTTCTGGTTCGTCCAAAGATGGAGGCTCGAGTGTTTCGCCCTTCTAACGATCATCGGCTGCGCCCTGGCCATCGGAGCCATCGTAGTATTTGTTCGACTGCATCGAGACGCATCAATCGGCATTATCGAAAGGACTGCCGCCTCGAAGATGGTTTACTACATGGTTCTGGGTGCTGTGTTGAATGTACGTTTCTACACGATACCTGTTCTTTGTGTCTATACGTGCGACTAATATGGACTTCAGGGGTTGATGGCTCCCTTCTTCTTCAGCATTTCGGCCCAAAATCCACTCGCGCTGGCGAATATACAACTGAGTCTCAGTATGGTAGGATCTGTGGCGAGTAACGTCTCGGGAATTACCTTTGGCGTTCTCTATCTCTTTCTTCGCTGCCGCAAGATGCAGAAGATTGGCCCTCTCGGACATGTCGAGCTCGGCAGTCCGAGGAGAGAAAAGTCTATGGAATCATGGCGCGAAACGAAAATCTTCAACATCCAGATGGATCAGCCGGTCTCACCAGTGAATGTGTATACTCGCCGGAGTATGAGCATCCTCGGGGCCGGCAGGGAGACTGCGAAACCTACAACCGGGACAGGCGATAGCCCTGCAGCGGCACATACCAAGTCTCCTAACAGCGGAGACGTTGCTGACGACTCGAATCCGGCAATCGTCTTTCCAACGCAAGCTGTAACTCGGGCACGCAAGGATTCGTACAGTCTGTTTCCGAACCAGCGAGAGGCGCTCGACAGCAAGCCCAAGGGGGCCACTCTCCTTCCCTCCACAACCTATACGCCAGACGCGCCCATGGATAAGGAGCGAATGTCGCCCGCAAACGAGATGTTTGAGGAGCTTTTGCCGCCGCCCGCTATTCGCGTCTCCGGCGCCCCCAGGCACAATCGCGAATCGTCACTGGTCAGTTCTGCGACAGTCCAGATTGGTCTGAGAGTCTCCAACCTCGAGGACGCGGCGCGTTTGCAGAATTCCATCTACCTCTCCCCCAAGAGGCCCTCTTCACCGATTCGTCCACGATCGTCCTCGTCAGATGCGGCCCAGGCTGAGCAGTTTCTTAGCGCAACCAGTTCTCGCCGCAGCAGTGTCGCTACAAGCATTGGCGGGAGGGCGTCAACTCACTCGTCTCCCAGGGCAAGTGTCGACGTGAAGTCTGACGAGAAGCCCATGATGCTGGCTCCTGCTGTGTACAATCCGGGGAACTTTGAAATTTCTCATGACAGCCACAGCAGGAGTATGGACTCCATTCCCTCGACTACTGGCGCTCAGTCGACCGACGGGAAATACTCCGTGGGAACGGCGGACTGGATTTGAGAATTGCCGTGTTCTATTTTGTTACATCTTCTTTCATTCTGTCTTCCTACATTCGACAATCCTTGGGGGGGTTTCCCCTAAAGGTCATGTCTACCCCGAGAGCAGCGACTACCCGGGCCGTTGACCAGAACTCTACAACCTCAAGATACCCCGAAAAACACCAACTCTGTCCTTTATCACTTTCTCTATCTTTCGCTTTTGACCCTTCTGTGAGGGGCCTTCTCTTCAGTGGTTGGACGACGCGACTCGGCATTCCATTATGAGTAGACGATGCCTTTCACAACCAAATGTGCTTTTTTTTTTTTCTAAAGCCAGTTGTTCCGCTCTATATGTCTATTTCTTTCTATTCTTTACTTTACGTTTGATACTCTGGTATGGGGAGATCTTCAGGCTTACATGTAGAAGCGAGGGTGTCATCTCATGACATACTTCTCAGTGCAGATTGGTGAAAACGATGTATACATAGCTCGTGTACGACAACAAGATGACAAAAGACACCAATATGAGACATGCCATTGATGAGTGCCTCCCATAAGAGATTCGGGGCTGAGAGCACCATGTGCGCAACGTATGAGTTGTACATGCTCTTATTTCGTCTTCTTGTATCTCATCTAGCTTGTCTTTATCTCCTTCTTCCTCTTCTTCTCTTCCCACTTTTCCCATCCTGCCTGACACATGTCCTCTTCCACCACTAGATCGCGTATCCTCAGCATCTTCGCAGGCGGCAGCTCAAGACCCCAAGCCAACCACCCGGTCCTCCTGAGAAACTCCGTCGCTACGAACCACACCAGCGCAAAGACGACACCTGCCGCCACGCCGGCCGCAACCTGCGTCGCCGTATGGTAGTTCAAGTATATCCTGCTCCATGCCGTCGCCGCAGCAACCAGCGCCGCAGCAAGGCTCACAGCCAGCCTCTCAACCAAACTCCACGGCCGCCCGCCCTCCCAGATGTTGATATTGCTCGACAACGACAATGACGGCGACGACGACGACGATGAGTTGGACTTTGCGTGTCGCTGTTGCGGCTGGGGCTTGTGCCGGACGAGGAGAAAGAGCGCGAGGGAGACGCTCCAGAAGGCGACGAACTGGGCGTGGGAGCTGGGCATGCCGTAGCCTTTGCCGTGGATGCGGCGCGGGCGCTCCTCTTTGATGACGCGCTTGAGGAGGAAGTTGAGGGCCTCGCAGGCGAGCTGGCCGGCGAAGGCGAGGCATATCTCGGCTTCGCGGGTGGAGAAGATGAGGGTCGCGTAGACGACGCAGAGGGCCTGGGGGAGGAGGGCTAGGTAGGCGCATAGGAGGGAGATGTAGTCGTTTGGGTCCTGGAATTGATGGATTAGCTGGCGGATCTTTAGATTGGTTGGAGGAGGAGGAGGAGGAGGAGGAGGAGGAGGAGGAGGAGGAGGAGGAGGAGGAGGAGGAGGAGGAGGAGGAGGAGGAGGAGGAGGAGGAGGAGGAGGAGGAGGAGGAGGAGGAGGTGCGTACATAGTAGACGTGGGTTACGGAGAGGGAGGCGAGGGTGCCTGTGTAGTCGTCGCCGTCCATGGCTGCTGGAGGATGGCGAGGGTAGGCTATGAAACGAGATGAGGCTCCGGGAGGCTGTTGGCTCAGACGGCAATGGGCATGATAAGTTGCCGCAGGATAGATGGACCTTGAAGTAGCAAAGCAAAAGGCAAAAGAATGTAAAGAAGAAGCAGAATCAAGGGAATCTGGCTCAGGCTACCGAAGCGACAGCAGTACCATTATGCGTCATGCAAGCGGCCAATCACAGACCAAAAGGACAGAACAGAAACAGGCGAAGAAGCACGACGTTGGCAACGAGTTGATGATGCAAGGACAAAGTCGAGACGATCCGCATGTGACGGCATTCTGGGGCTGAATGAAAGGAAAGGAAAAAACGTGGCTTGACTCCCACGCGAGTAAAAAAGTGTGGCGCAGGGATCCCGCTTTTTCTCTTTTTCTGCGCCACCACGGCAAGTGACACATCGGGAAGCGGCTTCCAGAAGAGCATCAGATAAAATCCATCTTCCAACCTTCTTCATCATCTTCTGTCTCTTCTTGGCTGCTAAATCAACTCATTCGAGTACGTTTTTGCTTGACACAACGATATACGGCCGGACTGGATCTCGGCCTTTTCGACTATTGGATTGTTTGTCCCTCCCGCCGTTCCTCGTCTGTCCGTCCTCGAGTCACAAAAGTGGGCGTCAGTACGGATTGCTCTCTCGGTGATTGGATTAGCGATTATTGCCGACCAAGGCAGAAGCTCCTCGTCTTTTACTCACGCGCTTTGCCACTGAATCGACACTACAAATCTCTTCAAAGGCTCGAGACAGGTCCTAGTCTCAAGTCTTCAGTTGGCCTTTATTGAACACACACAGCTCGTGTCGCTCTTCTCGCATACATACGCAACTTCCATACCTCTTGGACCCCTCATCTCACTTGGAAATGCTTCAGCTGGGCAGACAAGATGGATTCGACGCCCGATGACGACGACGCTCGCGCCACGGAGCTGGAAACCCTCGAGGCCATTTACCCCGAGCTTCGCCGCACTGATGGCGCCAGATACGTCTTTGACCTCGAGCTGCCCGTCGAACCGGCTGCTCCCGTAACAGTCACCTTTCCTGCGGCCGCTCTGTCTGATCAGGCTCTCAACGGCCCCGCGTCTACGGCGCCGGCTCCGGAAGACTCTTTGCAGGTCTCTCACTTGCCTCCTCTTGCTTTACACATTACTTTACCAGACGGCTATCCCGCAAAATGCCCGCCTTTGGTTCAGATCTCAACCGCTCCTCCGTGGCTCTCGGCAGACAGGCTTTCTCAACTGGCCGATGAAGCATCTAGGCTGTGGGAAGAGATGGGACGGGACTTGGTGGCCTACACTTACATCGACCACCTCCAGCAGGCTGCTGACAACGTGTTTGGGGCCTTTACCGCCGAGGGCACTCTTCAGGTGGACCCGGAGCATAAGCTTGCTGTGCTGGACTACGATATCAAAGCCAAGAAGGCGGCGTTTGATAAGGAGACGTTTGACTGTGGCATATGCTTAGGTACGTTCCATCCTTTCCTTTTCTTAGCCCTCATACTAACAGTTCTCGACGCCTTCAAGATCCAAAGAAAGGGTCAAAGTGTCATAAGATGCTTGACTGCGGTCACATCTTCTGCCTGCAATGTCTCCAAGACTTCTACAATGACGCCATCAAGGAAGGAAATTTGTCAACTGTGCGCTGCTTGGCCCCCAACTGCGCCAAAGAACGCTCTACGGCCGCCAATGCTGCAGGTGAAAAGGGGCGCAAGCCCAAGGTCTTCATCAGCCCTAGCGAACTGCTGCAGATTGGGCTCTCTGAAGACATGGTCAAGCGCTATGTTGATCTCAAGTACAAGACGGAGCTCGAATCAGACAAGAACACGATATACTGCCCTCGACAGTGGTGCAATGGAGCTGCTCGCTCCAAGAAGCACAAGAAACCCTTGGGTCTCAATTTCGGCGAGACTTCCGACGCCGAGTCTGACGAGGATGAGAAAGGCGACAAGGGCAAGAAAGGGGCGGATAAGTTCAACCCTGGGGACCTGCTGTCTGTCTGCGAGGATTGCGGATTCGCCTTCTGCAGCCGATGCTTTCAATCATGGCACGGAGAGTTTGTCCTTTGCGCCCCCAGGCGAAAAGACGGCGAGCTCACTGAGGAAGAGAAGGCGTCTCTCGAATATCTCAAACTCCACACGAGCCCCTGCCCAACCTGCAACGCTCCCGCGCAGAAGACTCATGGCTGTAACCATATGATCTGCTCGCGATGCGATACCCACTTCTGTTATCTGTGTTCCTCCTGGCTGGATCCAGGAAATCCGTACCGCCACTACAACCAACAGGAGAATGGAAAGGTAACCTCATGCTACATGCGCCTGTGGGAGCTGGAAGGTGGAGATGGCGACGACGTCGGCATAGGGTTTGTTGGTGGAAGAGGTGCTGCGGTCAACGAAAACGCTGGAGAAGCTGCGGCAGAAGACGAAGAATGGGTCGGAATCGCCATTGAGGAGGTTGATGGCGATGTAGACGAGCACAATGCCAATGCCAACGCGAACGGGCCGGTACAGCTGGACGAGAACGGCCAGAGGGTTGCCGTAGCTCGCGAAGCGCCCCTTGTTCTACGACTCGTTGACAATCCGGCTCCTAACGGCAACAATAACAACGCCAATGACAACAATCAGGCGCGCGCCGGTCCTCGGGGTGCAGACAACCAGCCTGTCAGAGGCCGCGGCGGAGGAGCAGGAAGAGGACGTCAAGCGGCACACGGTCCGAATTACCGTCCAGGTCAGGCTGGCAATCACAATGCTCGCGGCCATCCTGCCAACCGTGCAAGGGGCGCTAGGGGTGACGCCCGTCGAGCTGCTCAGGACGGTGGACGCGGAGGAGGAGGAGCACGAGGCAGAGGAGCTGCCGGTCGAGGAGGCGCCATCCGTGGTGAAGCCGCTGCGGGTGCGGCTGCGGCCGCGAACAATGCTCTCAACAATAACAACCACGAGGACGTGCTCGATGCCGCTCAGGAGGCTTGGATCCGGCACTTTGTCCAAATGGCACTCATCGACGCTGAGGATGAAGTCGAGGGGGCCGATTCAGACGACGAAAACGAGAACTGGCGTATCCGGTGACGTGACGGGAAAAAAACTTCAAGAATTATGAATTGTATACATGTCAATGGATTGTATACAAGTCGAGACGAAAACCTGCATCAAACGTTTTTCTATAAAGTCTAATTGATATACATACATCTAGCGGATATCATGACATTTGTTCTCTTACAACTTGTCTTTTGCACTGCCATATCTTCCAAATGTTGGATAACTCTTGAATATCTTTGCAGAGTATTAAACGTCTTCGATCTACTAGGTGTCTACAATCTGTTGATTATCTGCCAAATATGAAATATGACGCTTCACCTGTTCAACTGGAGTTGCATCACTGCTTACAACCAAGCAGCCAGAGGAGCCGAGTTCGTGGCAAGGTGGACTCGACGAGGCGTTGCTCATGCATCCGTGAATACTGTACTCGTACATCTCCAGAGGACTAGAACCATGAAGATCCCCATCCATCAACCTGAGCAGCTAAATAGAACGTTACATATCATGGATCCTGTCGTACCCGTCACTGAAATAGCAAAATTGGACATTGTCAGGGCCAGCAAATGAGACGTCTGCAAAGCTGTCAGTCTGTGCTATACAAGGCCTGCCTGCCCAGATGAACCAGGATGGTAAATTTGCCTTTCTTTTTTTCCTAACCTGAAAGCAAACTGGAGCCAAACAAAGCAGGACAGCAGAAAATAAAAAAAAAAGAGAGAGAATAAGAAGAAAAAGGAGGAGACGGAATCACCTGGACCAATAAAGCAGCAAGGATATCCCTCGTCATGATTTCAGTGAGGCCGAGAAAAATGCCATTGTCTCTAATGTCCCCATAAAACCATGGATGTGTGTGTGCGTGTGTATGTGTGTGTGTTATACCAAATTGACAGTCAGTATGATCCGTGTTTTTGCATTTTCGGCCATGTTGTGGAAATGAAGGGAGGTGGATTCCCGCGCCAGAACGCATATGCCACCAAAGGGCCCGAGCGTGGCCTGCCAAAAGCTGGTATACCTTGTCTCTGCTTCCCGAACAACGTCTCCTCTCTCTCTCACGCCCTGACAAGCTTCCTACCTGGCTTTGCTTGGGGGGGGATCCTCCCCCCCCCCCCCCCCCCCGGGAAATCATATCGGAAACAGAAGGTTGTTGATCATCGTCCGTTCGGCACTGAAGAACCCGCAATGACTGGCTAGCTAGACGCTTGTTTCTTCGTACTGTTGTCGTGAGTGTCTTGTAACTTGCAACAACAACTTGCATCATGCCTCCTCCCCCCTTGGTCCGTGGCAAAAGGAGCAGGCACCCAAACCTCGTTTGCGAGCGAGAGAGTGAGTGGTCAGCTATGTAGCGCCCAGAGACAAAAGGGGGGAGGATACTTCACACGGAGGGCTCGACTCGATGTCGATACTGCCAGATCGGGCCAGCAGCGACCATGGCGGAGAAACCCTTTCGGGCCTTCCGCCTCACCTGGCCATCCCGTCCATCACCCATCAACCCTCCCCGCGGCCTGTACCAAAGCGTCGCTGTCTCCGAGACCACGCGGCATCCGGAGCAACATGCGAACCAGATGTGTGCGTGGACTTCTGGGGTGGCCAAGGGGGGGTGGGCAGGCATGGATCGGCCAGTAGAGGCGGAGAGAAACTGGGCAAAAGACGGCATCGAATGAGGCATAAAAAAGGAGAGAAGGCGGAATAAATGACACCCCTTGGTCAGGGGGGCCGCAAGCTTGGCATCGCCTTTTGCGGGCTCTTCGGCTACTGACAAGGGCCTTGAATATCGAACTTTGCATCTGTTTTTTTTTTGTGAACAGTTGGAGAAAAGGAATAAGAAAAGAAAGAGAGAGAGGGAGAGAGGGAGGGAGAAAGGCATCGGCACCGCCCTCGAGGTATGACGCAGCATTGCTTGTGATGTGATATGACAACAAACAGATGCGGCGCACAAAGCGGCAGATGCAGACTGCATCAGACATTCATGCCGCTCATGTGCTTCGTAGTACCGCAGGCGGACACAGGTGTGTCGAGTAAGGGAGCCGGAAGAAGGCGGTACTCGTAGTAGTAAGACGATATGACAAACGCGGAAGTGAGCGTTACAAGATTCCATGTTAAGCATAAAGCCTCGTCGTCCCTCAAGTGCCGTAGCCCAGATCTCGTTCTCGCTCCGCGAAGTCAAAGATGCGGCGTGTAGACACTCCGCGTTGACGCCATGGCCGCGGCCTCACATCGCGCCGTTCGCGGATGCCCTTGAGCCAGTGATGACACACAACTCGTCTCACTACTGCAATCAGGCGTTTGGTTGCTCTTACGGCGTCGAGCAAAAGCAAACGTGCATCAAGCATCCCGTGGCCACATCGTGTGGAAGCGATGGAGACGGCACTCGAGCAGCAGGGTCTCGTATGTGGTTCGTCGTCTAAGCTCCTCAGCCGACCCCATCATTCCTCAGAGGCATGTCTCTCTCACTTTGATGGCGCCCCACAGAGTCAGTCGAGGTGTGAGTCCTCGTATGCACTCTAGCTGGTGTCCAGGCTACTAGTACCGAGCAGCAACGTCGTATTCCTGGCGGTGATCCATACTAGCCATGCCGGTACTACCTCATGTGGAGTAGTAGCACGAGTCCCTGGTAGCGTAGCATCAGACTATGTCGCACCGCTTGCTGCTTGTATGTACGATAGGTATGTGATACTAGTATGGGTGTAAGTACCCGTAGGTTTCTGGAGATGTGCGATCTGCTCCTTCATCTCGACGAGTTAGCAACAGAGAATGCTTGTGTGCGATCACAGTCTGACGACGCCATCATGAGAGGCGTCAGCACCAACTTTCTGTAGCCTTGGTAGTATCAAGCCGGCAAGTTTTCGCATGATCTCGTAGCCAATTACATCGTGATGGTTGAGGGTTATCCGTTGACCAAGTGTCGCATGAGAAAAGTGCGGAAATGACGCTGAAACAGCTCGAGAGAACCGAATTGATAACTGATGAACAGTCGGTGGCGTGGAAGACGTGCATGCCGGACGTAGTTGCATTGATACAAAGCATCCGGCATGGGAGGATTCCAGACCCTCTTTCACAACGCTGCTATGCGAGAAACATCTGATGACCGAAGTGCCATCAACATCTCAGATCAGCATGCTGAGATTTGCCTCCAGCGACTCATGTATGAGCGTCCTCATTCAATGGTAAAGCCTACTTCATCAACTCCATGCGGCCGCTGGGCAGTCTCATGCGCAACCTACCGTCGTATACTCGAATGCTCATATGCATATCTCGAAGTTGACGCAGGTTGTCATATGGAATGATACTCCAGAAGCCTTTGCGTCCTTGAAAATAGTATGTTGTGGCTGGCTCCGAAAGACAGATATCGAAAGAGCCATCAAGACTCTTGGATCCCGGCTACGCCATCGACTTCGCATTAAGCGCATCAGACCTGGCCGTGCTCTAGCAGGTGCTTTGGTCAGTTGCGGTTGATTCCACGCTGAGCACTGAGGTATGAAGGCAAGAAGGGTAACACTCTGTACGTATGTATGCATATACATACTCCGTAGTGGTACAAAGCAGATCCGATTTGTGGCGCGAGGTGAGGTGAGCCTCTGCCGGCTGCTTTCTCTTACTCGCTCCATTTCTGCCACACGAAGCTGTAATTCCGGTTGATGATCTGCTTCCAATTCATCGAGGCCTTGTTCGGAAGCCGATGTCAACGTGTTACTTGAACCGTGGGTGATATCCTGCTACCTGTATCTCTTGTCGCGCCTCTCGAAGAGCAGTATGGAGTCCAGCCACATCATGAACAGGACGCAAGCCTCTGTGAAGCCCGTGATGCAGATGCACGCCAGGCTCTCGCCGTCATGGCGGAAATATTGAGGCGTCCGGGCGCTTATTGCTCGATCGTCTGAGCTCGCAGTTGACGTTGTCGGCGGGGTGCATTGAGGTTCAAAGTGCCTGTCATCCCATGGTACTTTGGCGCACGCAGCAGAGGAGACCGACTTATTCGCGCACTACAACGCACCGCATCGTCTCAAGTGTTCCCCTCCACTCTGTCCGGCAGTCATGACTGAATCATCCGCATCTCAGGATTCAGAAACGTGATCCGATTCTGGGTAGTGCGTCGGCCGCGGATGAGCGGTAACGCCGCTACAAACGGCGCGTTTCTTTTGTTCCTCTCTTTTGCCTTGCCTCTCTTCATCTCTTTCCCTCTCGTTTCCCTCTTTATCGTGTTCTTCTTCCTTCTTTCTTCTCCCTCTCACTCCTCCCCCACCCCTTAGATCGCAGCTCATCACGTCGTCCTTGGTGGCTCTCGTGAATGCCCACTGGCAAAGCTCCTGTCCGTCTGGACT